TTTCTTTACTGCGAGCAGAATTAACAAACAATAACTTCGACTTTTTTTCGTTAATTACGAGATGGTTGCTGTTGAACCACTCTGTAATAGCCGGCAGTGCACTTTGTAGTTTGCTAGCAGCCATCGCTTTCGTATCCGCTATGACATAGCAGATGGTGTCGTCGGCAAAACTTTCTAGTTGCACGCCTTTAAAGTCGGTTTGGAGAAAATCATTAATGTAAATGGAAAACAAGTTCGGACCGAAAATGGACCCTTGCGGGACCCCAGTTCGCACTTCCACCCAACGGGAAAAATGTTTGCCGGCCCGTACTCGCTGCATTCTGCCGGTTAAATATGAGTGAAACCATGACAGCGCCGATGATTTAACTCCGATATTTCGTAGCTTTTTCAACAGTGTGTCGTGGCAGACAGATGGAAAGGCCGCCTTTAAGTCGAGAAACAAAATCGCGACTGCTTTTTTTTGGTCAATGGCCGTTTTCCATGCTTCCGTCACTTTTAAAAGTAAAGTTTCGCACGAATGGCCGTTGCGAAAACCCGATTGATTAGGAGATAAAATACTATGTTCTTTAAGAAATTTAACCAGTTGGCTTTGTGCGGCTTTTTCAAAAACTTTCGAAAGGTTACAGCAGAGAAATCGGCCGCAAATCATTCAGACTGTTGGGTTGTTGCACTTTGGTAAAAGCAACTACCTCAGCCATTTTAAATATTTTCGGAAACGTGTTTCTCTTAAAGCACTGGTTAATTAGGTTAGCAGTCGGCACAACCAAAAGCGGGAAAATTTGTTGTAGAAGTTTATGCGGTACTCCATGAGGCCCTGCACACTTCTTTTTCCCGAGCATCTTAACAAAAATCTCGTTAACAACTTCAGCAGTTACGTATTCAAATTCAAATGATGCCGAGGTGTTTTCTTCAGGTACCCTAGCCGGCGGGTGCTGTGCACCATGTTCACCCATGGTAGCAAAATGGTTATTTAATTCCTCAAGATCGAACGGTACGTCATTATTCGGCTTACTTCTGTTCAACAGCTTGTTCAGCTCTCGCCAAACCAATGCCGAATTTTTGCGATTTTCGGAAAAGTACTTCTGTTTAGCGTCCTTGATAGCTAGACACAGTTCGCGCTTCAAACGTTTATAATGTCGATTATTACCCTGGTATTCCGGAGTATTTTTCGACATTTTTTTACGTTTATACGCGTCATCTTTTTCTTTGGCTAGCTTTTTAACTTTATCATTGAACCACGACTCTTCTTTCTGAGAAATCCTTTTTGATCGAATCGGAAAACATCTGTCGATTATTGCAAACAAACCACTAACAAAACGGCCCACTTCTTCATCGACATCGCTGTATTCAACAAAATCAGCGTACTTGCTGGTAAACGCGGCGACTTCACTTCGAAAATTTTCAATTTTCGTGTGTTTCCAGTCGCGAAAAAAAACAAATTTGTGCTCCGGTTTTTTGCAAGAGTATGCTGAAACCGTTTTGCACAGTCGATGATCTGAAAAATCGACGTCTTCTGCGTAACAGGACTTGTACAGATTTTTAGGGCTGCATAAAACATAATCAATTTTACTGGTACTTGTCAAAATGGTATTATCAGACTTTCTCAAGCGTTGAGCAACTCGAGTATTTCCGATTACCTTGTCTTCAAAAGAGAATTCAGCAACAAATTCCGTTAACACTTTCAGATACGGGCTGCTAGACATCGGCGAACTGTCGATGTTGAAATCGCCCATAAGAATGTGATCGCTATCCGGGTACTTCAAAAGTACTTCACGCATATGTTCAAACAAAACTTTCGTATCATCTGCATTACAATCGGGCTGGCGATAAACAGTTCCAACGATGATTTTTCTTTTCGAAATTTTAAGTTTTAGCCATAAACACTCAAACCCTTTACTGCGAAATTTTATTTCAATACGCTCAGCTGGGATATATTCAGGAACATAGCTTATAATACCCCCGCCACCAGCTTTGCCGTGAATGGCAGTCCTATCACTTCGGTACATACAATATCCAGGGATGAAGTATAATTGATCAGGATCACAGGAGCTAAGATGAGTCTCAGTTAAGGAAAAGAACTTGGACGAACCATCATCGGAGCACAGATACTTAGTAATTAGGTCAAGCTTAGCATAGCCGAAACCCTGAACGTTTAAGTGAAGAAACTCCACCGCATGATTAACTGCTAACGCCATGTCTCCTGCGCAACCGATTCCGCTATGTTTGATACCAGACGATAGAGAAAAACTTAATTGTTAATTCAGAACTGATTTCGAAAGAGTACAACTACTATAAAACGAGGAAAACCGACAAAACTTCTCTGGCTGGCCGGATTAAATTTAATCCACCAGCCAGCCAGCCAGATGCATTGTCTTGTCCTTTAATTCATGCTCACTGTTAAAACAATGCTTCCGAAAATAAACATGACGGAGCTATAACTACTTGAAGCACGACTTATTTGGCTAAGGCTGAATTTACCTTTTCATGCGCTGAAACTTATGGCATCAGAGCTCGCCTGCCTGTATTACGGAATCGAGCAGTCTTTAGACTAAATCTTTTATTAGCATCATTAAGCAAATCCGGTTTTATCGTCTCGTCTGGAAATGCTCTCGTTGCACCATTTTTTGTCTGAAGTCCATAGAGTAAGCAGTATCCAATAAAAGTACCGCTATTTGCACGTGTGTGAGTTCTTCGAATGCTGCGGTCAAAACGACACAATACGTGAGTAGTTTTAAAAATCAGCAAAAGGTGGGGGAAAGGATTAAGGAATAATAGCCAAGGGTATGCCAGGTGATATTTCTACAAACGATAGTTACTAATATTTTTCAACACAGCATGCAGTAATATGAAAGCGCCTCGGTGCTAACATATAAAAACCGCTACTGTGTGTCGCTGAGAATATCCATCCTAGCGCTGCAAGACAAACCATCCTGACTTACTTATTCGGACATTGGGGCATAAGGTACAAAAAAGCATTGATCGTTCAGTCCGGCGAGAACAATGATACGCACAATGAACCATAATAAATACAAGGGTGTTATACTCGTATCAATGGAGCCCGCCAGGAAACTGGTGGGATTGCTCGGGAGGAAGGTACACGAAGTTCGGCAGAAAGGTAGATGACCTTTGACAAAATGGTGGACGACTCGTTCACCTTTCTGCCGACCTTCGGCAGAATGGTGGATGCGATTTTATTGAACAACTACCGTCCTGCCGGCAGCATGCGCTGTCTGTTAATAATCACGGTTTCTTATTGCAACCACGGATTACGAAATAAATCTTTATTACTCGTACTATCGCCCGGTACGCCCGCCCGGACGGCTGGTAGTCGACTCACTGATGCTGTCGTGCAGGGGACCTTATGTATGGTCCCGGTCGGGGTGCGCTCGATGGTTCCGGGCAAGCTGATGTTGGGGCGAACCCGTGACAGGGTGCATGATGCCATGGTGATGTAATATTTCACCATCATGATGTAACATGACCGCACAGGAATGTGCAGTGCATACCGGCACGCCGACTTTCGGTGACTAATGGGCGGTGGTGCCAGTAATGATAGTGCCGTCACATCTTTCCTTTTGTTTTAATCAGAATAAGAAATTTAAAAATTATTGTCATGCAGCATCGGCATCCAGCAGGACGAGATGACTATATTACTACGTGTTACCCCCGCAGCAAGATAGATTCTGGTTCCTTCCTTTAATGCTCAAATTTTGTTCATTAAGAAGTAATGATGCCACCGGGCGGGCGTTTTTGAAAACCAGTATGGTTTTATTAAGGAACGACCGTCCAGGGAAAATGGAATTCCACGGATGGAATCCAATTTCCAAATCCGCGCTCCATGCGAGCGGCACGGATTTGGAAAATGGAAAATAGGAAATCCGTGGAATTCCAATTTTTGCTTGGAATTCCAGATTTCCTGTATTTGGAATTCCAAACGCACAGAAATGTTGGGGAAAAGAATTCAAACTGAATATTTTTAGTGTTTTTCAACGGGTAATTACAATTTTTTCTGCTTAAAAAAGTCGTCCTTGTTCTGGTACTACCCGGTAAAGAAAACAACGCACCAAAGATTTCGAAAAACGCAAGATTGCAACAAGGATACGCATGCATGACTCGTATAGTATCGGCCACAAGTTACCTGTGTCGATACTCGTTTAACCGCAATACATCAATGCTATACTGGTACTTGGTACTTGAAGTATGGTTTTACCATTTCGAAAGTAAGCAGAAAACAAACATGCATATCGAAAGTTAATAACTTCATACGTTGTTTTATTGTAGTCGCCAAAACTATCCCTCTTGGTTTTTTTTTGAATAGGTCAAGAAGTCTTCTTGATCTATGTGATAGTTTACAATACATGTATTCAAAAAGATAATTTGATTTCATTGTTCTATAGAAAAGATAATGGGTATTGCGAGATAATTATATCGAACAACCCCGTTCAGTAGCTAACTATCTGCAGTTGCCGAATCTGTACTACGAGTATACTGTATCTGTACTATACTCTAGACCGGTGCCGGTGGTATCATTCTGTACTATCTTCTAATACAAATAGTAAGATATTACTGCCTTGTTTACCCGTAGGAAAAGCAGATAGTTCTGTGCCCTTTTACTCTATTTAGAAGCTTGAATAAATTTCCAAGTGATGGAAGCGCAGTTATTGAGCAGCTGACGATAACTGAAATGGTGTTTTGTAAATATATACGTAAATAGATAGCTAAATAATGGTATTCCAACGAAAATAATGAAATCCTTGGATTTACGGAATTCCATTTGGATTTCCGTAAATCCACGGATTCCATGGAATTCCATGGCAATTTCCTTTCCAAATCCTTTCCACGGGCTCGCGCCCGTGGATTTGTCCTCCTTAGGTTTTATATAACGCAGTAACTAGATGCACTGACAAAATTAAACAGTGTGAATCAAGAACTTCACATTTTATTTTCAAGAATACTGTACATGTAGTTTTTATGTTTATTTTCCAGTGTGCTTTACATTTATTTTTACATTTATTTTCCAGTGTGTTTTACAGTTGCAATCATAAGCTCTGTGTCTTTTACAAATTAAGTTTTTCTGTGATGCGAGCAAACACCATTGTATGCAGCATACAACGAGATGGTACCGAGACACAACGGAGAAGAGAGATGACACAGAGATACAACAATTCAGAAGAATGGAGGAAAAGATATCATACGCAGTTTCCGGCCATAAAGAAGCAAATACACGATGAGCACAGATGTTTGTCCACAATTCGGACTAGCAGTTGCACTTTACTATCTGCAGGCTGCAACCTAATACAAGGAGGAAGCCGGATCCGCCACGCGTGCAATAAGAAGAGGAACATTGGCGATCTCGTTCCAGATGATCACTAAGAATGGTCTATCTACCACGAAATCTGGACCGGTTCCCGCAATGAGTGGCGCCAGGCGATTCCATTTAAACGCTGAAGTTGCAACGCCGTACTCACTGATGTCTGCAGAACAAACCGGCAAATTACTCAGAAACTGTTCAAGAATTTTGTTTGAGACTCCTTGTACAGTGAGAAATTCAATAAAATTTTATTTTAAATACAGTTTACTGTCAGCAAGGCTCATATGCGCAGAAGTGGATAACGCATCTACTGCAAAATATGCATATAATGCCGTATAGCGTTTGGTACTTGGGTAATAATTTTTTTACATACCTAAAACAATTTGCTCTCTAAATTCACTGATCGGCAGCGAGCCGTTTGCTGACGCATCGAGCCCATGGTCAACGCTTTCTGCCGCTGACTCATCGTACAACACACCCAATCCCATCGCGGTGAGCATCGGCTGCAGGTCGATACTGCAGCTGATGCGGAATTTCGGGAAAACAATGTGCAGCGGCAGCTCGCTGCTCTTCTCGCGCCAGCGCAGCAGCCGCTCCACCGTCAGCCGCTCTTCCAGCAAGCCTATCGTCTCGCCGCTGTCCGGGGGCGGTAGGAGCAGCATGACGCTGGACTGTCGGCCCTCCACGTTGAGGATGATCATCTGCGGGTCGCTCGGCTCGGCGTTTTCACGATTAACGCTGACGTTGTGGCAGCGCACGCCTAGCGTGAACTTGCAGACCATAAAATCCACCGTCTTCTGCACATTGCCGGGGCAGGTGAAAATTCTCGGTCCACCGTGAAACAACGGCCGCTCAAAGGCGCCGGTAAACTGGCAGATACTGGCCAGCTGAAGGTGTGGTGTGCGCCGTGTTGCTGCCTCGCGTATAACCAGATCAGCGTCTTCACTCTGCGCACTGTTGACGCCTTCTTCCGGAATTTTTTGAACCGACATTGCCAAATAATTCATTTTGGTCAACAACGTTCCTGATGGACAATATCGGTTGTCGTTATCGGCGCTAAGGTTTTCCTTCCGCAGTGAGAGTAGCTGGTACGTATCGTTGTAGAAAACAGCATTAACCATATTCAAAGCGCCGTTAGTGCTGGCAGTGTCCAGTGATGCTTGTAGATCATCGAGTGATCGCCCGTTGGGGCACAGGATATTGGTAAGTCCCAAGCGGACTTGCTCATCGACAATCGGCAGGATGGCCGTCAGAACAACCTGGACTGCGCACGGACACACCGCCAAATTCTCGTCATTAACGCGGGAACTGGCAGTGAGCGCTGTGAACATATTAACAGCGAAGCTATTCTCCAGGTTGACGGTGAAATCGTTGGTGTATGGTATCTCCCACGGGCGTTGTTTTGGCTCCTCTGATCCATGTGATGATTTCCGTTTGAAAAGCGATTTCGCGAACCTAACCAGCTTATCCATGAACGTCGGTTAGAGGAATTTTTTATAAGCACGGTATCACAGTGTTTAGTTTATAAACAAGATAACACGTCCAAAGTTTTAAAATCAGGAGGAAGCCTAATATTTCTATGTAAAGCAGGAAAATAAATCACTCCGTCTTATTCAATCAGCGCTGTTTGCTGCTACATAAAATATATCGTGCATGGGACTTGTGAAGAGGAGACGCCAGCGGAAGCACGAGTATGCTGCACGTCTCTTCGATACGTCTATGGCTTTCCTATGTGCATGCATAAAATTAATGCAGCCTGGCTATGTACTGTTTGTACTGTACTATGTACTGTAGCACCCGGTATTGATCGGTATTAACGATGTCTTAAATCCACGATCAATCCATGTGTATGAGTTATGTTGTCACTGGCTTTCAGTACAGAACCGTACGCGTACTCCGTACTTGTTGAACTACCGCTTAACTAACGCCGAGCAACATTTCCGGCGCAGTCAGTTTGCCATTTTTATACTGGCTGTTAGTACACAGAAAGCCCATGCGGCCATGCCTTCCAGCTGGCTGATACTCGTAGAAAGTTGTTTCATCTGTGAACAAGCACGCACTTTGCAGTCAAACGTACAAATTGTACGTTTGACTGGTTGAGTGTCACTAGGAAGTAAAAAATCATGCTGAGTTACTGAACAGTCAACACAGTCAGAGTACTTGTTAGTCATCACAGCTGAATTTTTTTGGTTTGTTTATAATTTTCTGCATGTTTTCCATGAATCGGATCGTTGTGTAATACGTTGTTTAACTTACCGCCCATCTGTAAATTCTTTCTTTACCCTTTCTGTAGCGGATGTGAGTGAGCTGTATCAGCCTGTATGTATGTATTCAAACTTTCTGTATGCACTCAGTACTTACTGCACTGCACTGCACATTTATTTTAAATCTGAGAATTGTAGGTGAATACACAGAAAAGCGCTTCTACATGTAAAACAAAGCTGGGAAGCCCAACCGAACCGAACAAATACAAAAACAAATGGGTTTACGGAACAAATAAGAAACCAATGTTGGTTGTATTACTGCAGCGAGAACCACAGACGAGGCCATCACACCCCCCCCCCCCGGCAGACAGCGGTTACTCTGCCCAGTAATCTGCGAGAGCTGGCGGTGTTGTTGGTGGAGATCATCCAGGCGTTGGATTCCATCCATCGCGTTCGTTGTCGCCGTCTATTCCAAGCATGGGACAATCTTCACCACGGGAGCCTACTTCCCTGGTGCGCGTGCGCGTATCCAGCGATTCGGCGGATTACGGTGCTGGGAAATTTCCTGGGCACGAGATGTACTGGGTGGCGGCATGCCTGCATGTTGAAATGCCGCAACAGCCGCACCAAACTGGTGGTAGTTAGGAAACTGCAACTGTATGGCGCTCGGCAGCTGTCCGCTGCTGCTTATCTTTGATAAGCAATGACCGTTTAGCACGGCCCTCTGTTTCAAACTTTTTGTGCAGCGACCAGAAACCGGCTTTAAGGACAGCAGTTCTAATTTAGCGATTATAAGTTGAAAAATTAGGGTTCTTTACATTGCATATTTACATCTCTTGACATTTAATGGAGTTTTGCTCATTTCATAACCCATTTCAGTCCGGCATTTCATCAGTCCTTTACCAATACAGAACGTTCCCCGAACAAATGCTGCATATCCTCGTTTCCCGTACCAATGCAATGCAAAGTTCCGCTTCTGAACTTGAGTGGACCGTTTCTCTTAATTGTGTTCGACCAAAGGAGCATTTTAGTACCGATGGCCTTACATTTAGCCCCCATACACCCATCGTTTCGCAACCTAGTGCGGAAAAAATAAAATCATCGCGCAAGTTGCGATGATTTCCGCCGCCATGGTAGAAATAAAGAACAAGCAGCAGTGCTTCTGGTCTTTCTTCGTTCCTCTCATGGCGGCGGCGCGATATAGAAGGCGTCCGGGCGTGATATGCATCAACGGCGCTACTACGTTTACGGCCCTGTGCGTTTATGGATATTTCATGTGAATTGTTTGTATTCCTTGCCTCGACGTGGCACGAAAAACTTTTGTACTATATGTGCTAGGATAGTATTTAGTTTCCGCTCCTGGGAATTTTCTACCTGGCCGTACTTTAGCGCAAGATCGGCGGTCTCATGCAGAGTCTGTACATTGGACTTGTATATTCTACAAGCTGCCGGTGATTAATTTCTTGCGTAAAGAGCGGGAGTAAGCAATAACCTCGATGTTGGCGGTCAGTACGATGGCCAAAGGCCACAACTTCACACAGGTATTGAATTGGCAAATTTAATACGATTCACCAATTCTAATGGTTTTTCCATCGTTATATGTTTGTATACGTTTTGATGCCTCCATTCTGCACCGCAGTATGTATACCATGAAGCTGTATTTTTCAATGCACCTTTGCGCAAAGAATTCATCACCGGGCTTGTGAACTCTGGTCAAATATAGCGGGCAAAACTAAGCGTGTGCCACGGTTCCCCTGTATTGCTGCCGTCACCCGCCTGGAGTGTGACGTTACGGAAATACATATGGTTAAATCTGGCGCGGTACATAAGTGCCATGTTTAGCCACAACGTAAAACTCCAGCCGGGTGACGGCAGCAATACAGGGTAACCGTGGAACACGTTTAGTTTTGCCCCCTATATGCATTTCAAATGTTGATTAAAATAAAAATATATTGCACAGTAAGTCGTAATTACTATGGTTAGTAAAGTACAGAATATGGACTTGTCAGACTAGGGTTGTTAATGGTGCGGTGCGGTGTACACCGGTGTGCTTTCGGTGCGGTTTTTACAAAAAACTGCACTTACCTTACCGGTGTAAGGCGAAAATCGCACCGGTCGGTGTGGTGAAAAACGAAAATTGCACCGCAATTTTTTACACCGCACCGCACCGGTACATACCGGTGTATCTGTAGCGCACGTCAGCTGAAAGTCCAAACAATTACCGACTTTATTATTCGTTAATCTCCACAACTTCTTGAAACTCCTTCACAATAGGATACCAAGATTTTAAACACATCAGCGCCTGCACTATGCCAGACATTAATCGGTTTCTGTCTTTCGTCAACAATTTCCCACTTCTAGAAAACCATCGCTCTGAGTCAACAGAAGACGCACAAACTCCAAGCACATCAATTGCTAAACCATGTAAACCAGGATAAAGTTTGCCGTTACGCTTCCAGTACTCCAGGACATCGCACTCTGGCTCTTTAGCAGCACCAAGGTATCTATCGACTTCGTTTCCTCCGTTCAGAGATCCGATGAAATTCTGTTCAGAAATTTCGAACGAACTGAGCCCGACAGTGACTGCACAGGAGCAACTGGCGCAACCGCTCTGCTGTAGTAGGCGTAGTATTTCTTTAACAAATCTAAAGAAATTACAATAAGCGAAAATCCAGTCTTCTTAAACCATTTGCATAAAAGTTACCTGTCGCTTCTTTGCGCTGCTCCGCGGTCTCATAAACTTCCAGCTTCACGCACGGGTCCAGCATCTGACACACAAATACGATCTCTTGATTCCAGCTATCCGCCTCGACTTCCAGTAACTTCTGACGCATTTTTTCAGCACAATCACGAATCCAAGACTTCTGCAAATCATTCCATTAGCGAGTAAAATTAAACTCATGGACCAGTCTGGTCCGTGGGTACGATGCCAAAATACGATGACAAAATAAGTAGTTATTACTGCTATGTAGTATAAAGAAATTATAGATACCGGTATCTAGCTGTGTGCTGGTAACAGCATGTACTATGCACGTTATTAATTCTGCTATATTTACTGTTTTAAATTCAAAGTTTATTTAGAATCAGTTATTGCTTACTAATGCAAAGTTGAATCGGCAGCTCTCAAAATGTAGGGATAGGGTTTGAAAACATGGTTTCGCAAAGTGAAAGGTTGGATACTTCGTCCCGGAGCAGTCACGCGTAACTTCGTCTAGCGGACTAAGCAGATCAATCAGACCTTTCACATCTTCCCACTCGGTTTCTGTTAGAATGTGCTTCTGTACGGCAGCCGATCCTTGGTTGGTCAAAAAGCGGCACAGATCATTTCTAGCAGCGTATGCTTCTACCAACATCTTTAGCGTACTGTTCCACCTTGTTTTTACGTCCATGGAGAGTTTGATATCTTTTCGCTTAATAAACGCACGGTACTGTTTCTTCGCTTTAGGCCTCTTTACGTATTTAATCATTTCGTGAATACGATGAACCAGTGATTCTTTGTCATTGAATCCTACATCCACAACGTTGTGAACAGCATGGCAGATGCATCTCAGGCGAAACTCCGACACTGTAAAATACAAACAAATTAGAAATTTACTGTCACATTCCGGACTAATCAAGTACCTAATGCCCACTATCATTGCTTCATATCAGCCTTTCATTTTCCAATATCATGTACCATTTTTTTATTTCGCTACCAAAAGTTCTGGATAACAATGATTATCTGCACCTGCACTTTGTTTTGAAAATCTTTTAGTGAAACTGTGATATTCTAATAATTAGCATTCAGAAATAATACGGCTAGAAACGACAGAGGCTTCAATTTATTTTTTTTCAATCAAAATAAGATAAGGAAATACGCATTCACTTATAACTGTAAAATTTAATTTTTTCATAAATAAACAAAAATTGCAGCTACAAATATTCCTACCTTGATCACCATTCCCCTGGTCCGCTCTCTCCAGACGCAGCGACAAATACAATTCCTCACAGAACGCTTTCATGTTTGCTGCTCCATCAACCGTAAAGCCGAAAGTCTTGTGAGCAATGCCGTAATCATTTAGTATGCCAAGTACAGCTGCCTTTAAGTTTGCCGCAGTGTGCTCAATGCCGGGATCTATAAAGTCGAGCAAAATCTGCGCAACAGTGTAGTCCGGTGTGATCCAGTGGGCAGTCACTGCCATAAATGCTTCCTGACCGACTGACGTCCACGTGTCCAGCGTGATACTGATTCTCCCAGGTGCGCTGATCAGTATCTTTTTAATCTAATAAAAATCAGCGTTGTAAGTATGCAGTTCTTTTTCATGATAATATTTTTTAAAAATATCGTCTAGTTATGCTAGAATTTAAAGCCACATACAAAGTCGCCATGTTGCATTTGCGTCGTGTAACACAAACAAATCATAAATCCAGTTAATCAGTGTCTTACCTTCTCTTTTATAATCTCATACTCACTGATCACATTTTCTTTTAACGTCTGACGGCAAGGCACTTTGTAAGCTGGGTTCAATTCACGGAACAGTTCTTCCAATTCTTCAGTTTCCACGATTCGGAAAGAAAGGTTTGCGGACACAATCAGGCGACGTAGCAGATTGTCAATTTTCTGCTGCTTTTTGCTGTCCAGTTTAGCAGGTTTAGCTAGAAATATTTCCGGAATGGTACGCTTCTTCCCTTTCTCTGCATCACACTTGCTCGGGTGCTTGGCTTTTACATGCGTCCATAAAACTGTCGTAGAGTTCGAGTCTTTGTAGTAAGTGGAGCAATATCGGCACACATACTTCTTCTTCTCATTATCCCGAATAAAATGTTGCCAAATCTCGGATTGCTTGCTCGAAGACGGTTTATGAGGTGTCCCGTCCGCAGAGACCGCGCTGGCAGGAGATGCTGGCACTTGAAGGCTTTCATCGTCCATCAGCTGATCACTACGGAGTGCAGCGCGCTCTGCGCTTTCCTCTCTATCGCGCCGGATTTCTTGGGATAGAGATAAGCCTCCTAAGGGCATCTTTGACGCCAACAGTATATATCGAGTGGTAAAAATTTTTATGAAGTGAAAGTTTCGAAACAGATTTCTTAAATCTAAAGATATTAATAACGAAAACAACTGTATAACGTAGAAAATTAACCCGTCAAACTCTTGCGCTTCACGTTTTCTTTCTTATGGCAGCCCGATTGTTGCAGCTGCGGCAATTACAGACATGCGCCCGTTGGTGTGAACCCAGCCCGCAGCTATATTTCATAACATTATTTGTTATAATTACAGTATCTTCGAATGACTTCGATTAACCGGTGGTTAACCGGTGTACATCAACGCGGTTACCCCAACGCACCGGTGTGTGCCGGTGTGGTTTTTTTCAAAAGCCGCACCGCCTGTACCAATTATTTTTCAAAATCGCACCGCAATTTTTCCAAATTGCACCGGTGCACTGGTAAAAAACCGCACCGTTAACAACCATATGTCAGACATAATCGCGCTGTAAGCGACAGACAGGATACATCAGGGCCGTAGCGAGGGTATAGGCGCACTGGCGCGCGCCTACCCCTCCTCGGCCAACTTTTGAATAATATTTGCGCCCGAAACTGGCGCACAGGCGCACGGGCGCGAAATTTCTAGATTTTTCAAAAGGCGCAGCGGGCGCCACTGGCCGTGCGCCCGTGGCGCAGATTGGATTTTGGCCGGATGTGCCTTGGTCTGACGTACGGCGATCAAGAACTATAATTGTCGTGTACGCTAAAACGATTTATTAATTTAGACTTTCAGCGCGCTATCCAACTGAGCAATTAATATTACAGAGGACAACATCATGAGTGTTGCTATGGCATACACTACACCTTCCTTTCTCAAAAAAAATAAGGAAAACGGCTCGTTAATCAAAAATATCGGTGTACTTGACTATCTCGTTAACATTATCCGGTTCTTCATAAACATAGTTGGATTTTCCACCACACATTCTTTGTAAGTGGCCCTTTACGCCACACTTATTACACGGCATATTTTTGTACCAACAATCTTTTACGAGGTGGCGTCCTCCGCATCCTGTGCACGTTACCCCTTTCGGTCCTTTGCCCCTTACGGCCATCACCCTTTCATCCTTCTCCTCCATTCTGCTTTCAAACTTTTGCGCATCGGCCAGCGCTCCCTCTATGCTGGTTGGCTCCCTGCTGTACAGGTGCTGTCGCGTCTTCTCCCGTTGGATTCCGCCCAGGAAAGCAGCTAGCAGCATCTCGTCCAATATCGTTCCAGTAAACTCACAGTTGATTGACTTCGCCCGGAGGCGGTTGCTGTATTCAACAAGGCTTTCTCCTTGTTGCTGGGTGAGACGGAAGAATTGTGACCTTTCGTAATGTTTTGATGTCTGCTTGACGTATAAGCGATCCAGCTTGTATATCAACTGCTCCACTGTAAACTCTTTAATCTTCTGCGGATAGCATACTTGGTACAGGGACTCGAAGGCTTTGCGCTCCAAACTTTCCACCAGTAAGTTGACTTTCTTATCATCCTGTACATCCAACAGGACGACGAAGTTGTCAAAACGCTGCTTCCATGCACCCCAGTCTGTGTTGTCTGGATCAAATCGCTCCATCGCAGAATGCGAAGGAACTGTCGCCAGAGCTGTCTGCGATCTCGTCGTAGGCATGGTGCAGTGCGTTATGGTATAACAATTCCCCTTTCCAATCTGACCGTAACTCAGAAATCTCTATCCATTCACGCCACTGTCGTGTACGCTAATACGATTTATTAATTTAGACTTTCAGCGCGCTATTCAACTGAGCAATTAATATTACAGAGGACAACATCATGAGTGTTGCTATGGCATACACTACAATAATAATTAAACTATTTATATTAATTAAAGCATTAAAGCCCCGCCTGTATATACGGGCGTAACGGGCGCAGGCTTCGAAATTTATGGGCACAGTGGGCTCAGACTGACCTTCGAAGCGGGCGCAAATGGCGCAGCCAAATTGCGCCTACCCCATCCCACGGACCTCGCTACGGCCCTGGGATACATAAATGAATGATTGAACATTTGTCCTGTTACCTGTAGCTGTATAATATTATGAGTAACCTCTATAACAACAGTGAGATAATCAGTAAAATAATATGTTTCCTGTTACGTCGTTATTAACAGTTAAACTAGCTATTATAGTATGAAGTAGACCGTAATAGATTAATACGAAAAACGCACACGGACTAATGCATGCCCCTGCTTTTAAAGTGAAGCGCTTTCGATAATATTAGTGCTTCTCATATGCCACTACCGCATACACGTAGCCGTCGTTGCCAGCGGCAGCAAGGCACCTTCGAGGTAAGGCATTTGTTGGTGCCGTAATCTTTTCCCGGGTTTAACCGGTGCTAGGTCTTGCATCCTCGATATTGTTATCATGTTTTTGAAGAATACAGGTAAATCAAAATACCGGCTACTATGGCTTTTGCTAAATAGGTAGGCGCTTGTATTCATTAAGCATTTATTCATCATTTATATATTATTATTTACTAAACATTCTTGATTATGATAGATCAGCATTTATGTATTTCCGCTTGCGATTGACAGCATAGTTTGTGCCTTAGTGGGGAACGCGATGAAGCTGTCCCTTAATACTTTCTGTATACCGTTTTCTTTATTTAATTTTTATTTTTTTCTAGCGACGCTGCTGACCACTACCAGTGATTGTACTCAAGCTGAATCAGGTGTGTTGCACAACTGCAAGTACAGAGTACAACACGTACAACGGAGTTGATACATATATGACTGTATATATATATGACTATATGACTGACTATATGACTGTATATGACTATATGATGACTATATGACTGTATATAACTATATGATGACTATATGATATATGATGACTGTATATGACTATATGATGACTATATGATATATGATGACTGTATATGACTATATGATGACTATATGATGACTGTATATAACTATATGATGACTATATGACTGTATATAACTATATGATGACTATATGATATATGATGACTGTATATGACTATATGATGACTATATGATGACTGTATATAACTATATGATGACTATATGACTGTATATAACTATATGATGACTATATGATATATGATGACTGTATATGACTATATGATGACTATATGATGACTGTATATAACTATATGATGACTATATGACTGTATATAACTATATGATGACTATATGATATATGATGACTGTATATGACTATATGATGACTATATGATATATGATGACTGTATATGACTATATGATGACTATATGATGACTGTATATAACTATATGATGACTGTATATGACTATATGATGACATATATGACTGACTATATGACTGTATATGACTATATGATGACTATATGACTGTATATAACTATATGATATATGATGACTGTATATGACTATATGATGACTATATGATGACTGTATATGACTATATAATGACTATATGATGACTGTATATAACTATATGATGACTGTATATGACTATATGATGACATATATGACTATATGACTGTATCTGTGTACCAGTAATTGCAAGACTGACTACAATAGGTGCATCGCTAGAAAAACTCAGCGCTGTCGCGTGACGCTTAACTTTTGAATATGTTAGTTCATATAATTATTATTATACGGGTATTATTAGCTCGTATTAACCATCCTCAAAGTCCAAGTAAAGTACTGTAACTTGCAATACTACGTAAAACTTCTTAGAAGTTTGGGATACGGATTCTCTATGTATTGTGACAATACACAGCGCATTGTGCTTTTCGCGTTAAGATGTTTCACTACGCTGCAGACGACCGGTTGAGTTGGCTGGTGTTGGTGGCGAGACAGGGCGTATTGGCCACCTCATCCCAGAAGCGGATCATCTCGACCATGTTGTGCGTCCCGAACTGCCACTGCGCCGCCTGGTTCAGCTCCATGTAGCGGCCGCCCTGGCTGAAGTCCGCGCCCGCCATCCGCCTGCATCATAATATGAACCTTTGTCAGGTTTTTCTCCTTCAAACGGAAGTTCAATACCTACCCGTTGTTAGCCATTTGCCGCAGCATCTGCCTCATACTGTTGGTCATCGCCGGGTTCAGTTGTACGCCAAAGGGCGACGGATTGCCGAAGATGTGCTGGATGTCCAGCGTGTGAAATGCCCCTGGAAGACAGCCCCGGTGACCTTTGCTGTGAATAGCAGTTAGCCAGGGAATTTACCTAGGCCGGTGTCGGCGTCGTATACGTGATGCGGAAAACCAGGCTGGACGGATACCAACCACCCGGCGGATGGCCGCGCTGAGTGTAGAACGCGGCCTCCTTGGCAGCGGGATAGCCGATTTGGGATTCACTGCCCAACTGCAAATTATCCAATACACTGATTCGGGATGATTGGAAAACGATCGAAATGGCTCATTTAGAGGAAGTAAAAGTCGCAGCAAAGTGTGGACAAATAACTCTGACTCCCTCTTCCGATCCTTTTGACCGAATTCATCTTTATACTAAAAGGAGAATATTTATATAGGGGGCAAAACCAGGCATCTTCCACGGTTCCCCTGTACTGCTGCCGTCACCCGCCTGGAGTTTGACGTTGTGGCTGAACACGGCGCTTATGTACCGCGCCAGATTTAACCGTATACTCCATACTCCAGGCGGGTGACGGCAGCAGTACAGGGGAACCGTGGAAGATGCCTAGTTTCGCCCCTTATATATTGATGCAAACAATGTACTTGGAAGAGCTTCCACAGAGCGGCTGGCGTGCGTCCCTGCTGGTCACGTTGAAGCGCTGCATGACACGCTGCGCCAGCGCGTAGTTGGGCTGACTGCACACCTGGCCGGAGCCGGTGCTGGTCAGCAGGAACTGCCGGGCAATCAAATCACACACCGATTCTAACGTCAGAGGCTGGTTTTGGTCGAACAAATTTGTAAAGGCCACGGGCGGCAATATACGGCTCGTAACTCTCAACGCTCGCACTTCTTCTTTACAGTTTTAACAATTATGGGGTGTTTACGTACACTGCAAAAGGAAAGAGGCCTCCTCTCGGAGCTATCCCGTTAGGATGCTGATCCCGGATGTGATCGTGGTCCACCACCAGTCCGTACATTTGCGTAATCTACGACGATCGATGGGAGACTATCAGCGTATCCGGGAAGTGACTGTGTCTTAGATTTCTTGGGTTTCTGGAGACGTGCGCTGATGCTAGGTCGTCGCATACACTCGCACGTCCGGCTAACTATGACACCGGCAGCATACAGGCGGCTTGCAACTGTTGCACAGACAAAATTACTCGCCAAGCTGGCTATTGGCTGAACAGCTAGCTCAAAATCACCGGCTGATGGTGTTTATCTACAAACGCCACCGTCAGTGTATTCAGCTGACGGACATCCACATCGACAATATTAGAGGCCGTCCACTCCCTGTGGCGGCAGCGCGTGGAATCACGAGGATCGGCACTCTTGGTACTGGTTCAGCGCCTGCAGACAGTAACGTGATCACCGGTCAATATGGGAAATTTTTACACTAGCACTCTGTTCACTACCTGGGCGGCGCATAGCTCCAAGCGTAAGTAGAGGATTTACACTTTTGGTAACCTACCTTCTTGTGGAAACCATTTTCACTATACCACAATTTGTGTTTTACGAAAACCTTGAAGCCGAACATTCTAACTGAAAGAAATTCAGGTACAGTACTTCCGGCGTTTGGAACCAATTGCAACCGCTCGGTGTGACAGCGTCATGGGAATTTTACAGTACATGTCTCTTTATTTTAAATCAAACTCAAACTGGCAGATTGTTGTATCTGTATGTTACTATCTAGCTAGGTTATAATAATGCGCTTGTGAAGCGAGAAGCGGCTCACGTACAGCGACAAAATCTTTCAAAGGATTTCAACGTATTGCGCCGTGGTGCAGTGGTACTGCCTACGCGGATCTACGACGTAGCCGGGGTTCGATTCCCCCATCGGCGCCTTTTTCAGCCGTTTCTCGGTTTCCCTCGGATTGCGCCCTGCTCAGACGCAGCTACTACATCACATCATGACAAAGATACACACGTGCCACAGTGGCCACCGCCATGGAGAATAACAGCTCGTACCTTCAAAATCATTTGATCGCCTTCCGAATCACCCTGACCATTCACCATTCGTGGAATGTATTCCGCAATCCAATCCTCAACGGGCTGACGATCCAGCGGCTTCTCCAGCACTAGATTCCTCTCGAACACATCCCACAGCTGTTGCTCCATCTGCTGACGCGACTGGACGTTGAGTGAGTGATGTGACACGAGCGCCGTCAAATTGTCATCTAGCGAGCCGGCAGTTTTTCCACACCACTCTGTCGCAGTCACACTGCACGACTAGATCAGCCGTTCGGCTGATCACCTCCTGGATACGATCCGTCCGTCCGCCGACGTCGCAGTCGTCGAACACCAGCACCGGCAGGCGTCCCGGTTTAAGGATGTGGTTGATCGGTGCGGAGAGTTGCCGAGCGTCGTACAGCTGCAGTTTGTGCACCACCACAAACTTAGTGGCGCTGCTGAGGCATTTCAGCAGGCACGCCGCCACCCAGTACATATCCCGATTGGGAAATTTCACCCCATAATTCGCGCCCTTGCCGGTCACGCGGACCTCGGGGAAGTAGGCATCCGTGGTGAGAAGAGCGTTCCACAGTGGACAGACGCGTCGACAGCGCCATCGCCCGATGGAGTCCAGCGACCGGAAGATCTCCACCAACAGCACGGGCGGCAGCCGCAGATTACTGCGCGCAGTAACCGCTGTTTGACGGGATGTGGTAGCATCGGCTTGAATTCTCGCTGCAGTGATGCAGATGCTCTCCTGTCAGAATCAACAGTAACTTACATTACCTCAGCCATCGCATCGCTCAATACCGAACGTTATACAAAGTACTTAACCGGATTACACATAATAAGCATGAGCCGTTTAGTTCCCATTCTTGTACCATTGTCTTGGGGATACCCACGCCCCACGTGAGTGATTTTATCATCACATAAAATATCACATTCAAGTTGATTCAATCATCTCTCATTTAATCGGATTTTAGCATTTAGCCACAAACCGGTGTAATTTTACCGGATTAATCATACTGATTATTGGGCCAGGTCAATTGCTCTGTGTAAGTCTTACGCGACGCGCAAGCGGCAGTCGGGTAAAAATTCATGACGTCACGGCGCGTAAGCAGGTAAACGATTTGATTGGTAGACCACAATTCTGGGATGGGTTTTCAGCTTACCCGTGCGTGTAACCGTTGCGCTTCGAAATCGAAGCGCAACCGTTACCCAAACTACGAGTAACTCGTAACTCTCCTGCACAGATCAACAAAATTTTTGTTTGTTTGAACCAAAAGTGCATCCAACGACCCAGATTGACACTCCTAAACTCAGAATTAACTTTTTTGATGTAGTACCACATTAAAGCATCAAAAATAAAATTTTCGGTTCCACTTCAGTTTTTCAGTTGTTCAGTTTCTTTCTTGCCACGGAAGCGTACTCGACTTACGATTGGACGATAAATTTTTCGCTGAGTCATGGACAGCTTTTTACGCGTTTCTCCGTTACCCGACGCGCAATGGTTACCCAGATGCAATTGACCTGGCCCATTAAATTATTACTATTATCCCTGCAAGCCGCCTGCATGCTGCCGGTGCCAGTTAGCCGGATGTGCGCGTGTGTGGTAGCGCGTGCCAGCCAGAGGCCGCATGGCGCGTGCCAGCCAAAGGCCGCAACAAGACGGCACCAGCCGTGTGGATCACTGATTCCCCCCATTCCAAGCTTACCTAATTCACATCTGCTTATGCGTTGTCATGTTTGCATGTTCTTGATGAGAACTCTTACGATGGTGCACATATGGAATGTGGCAATGGTTGTTCTCGTAGGCTATCATAGTTAGCGTTTACTGGTGGAGGTCAATTACATTTGGGTAAGCGTTGCGCGTCGAGTAACGGGGAAAAATGTGACGTAACAGCGCGTAAACAAGTAAACATTCTGATTCGCAGTCACAAAATCTGGGATGGGTTTTCAGCTTACTTGTCCGCGTAAGCGTTGCGCTTCGACGTCGAAGCGCAACCATTACCCAAACTACGAGTAACTCGTAACTCTTCTGCACAGATCAACAAAATTTGTGTGTGTTTGGGCCAAAAGTAAATCCAACGACCCAGAGTCACATTCCAAAACTCATAATTAACTTTTTTGACGTAATACCGCATTTACCACATTACAGCATTAAATATGAGCTTTTCAGTTTCACTTCGGTGTTCAATTTCTTTCTTGGCACGGAAGCGTACTCGACTTACGATTGGACGATAATTTTTTCGCTGAGTCATGGATAGTTTTTTACGCTTTTCTCCGTTACCCGACGCTCAACGGTTACCCAAATGTAATTGACCTCTACCACTGTGCGCTGTATGTGTTAGTCTACGAGTATGTTCGTTCAGGCGAGTGGAAGGATACGTGATTCCTGTCGGTCGTATTTAATCGCTTGTTAATGCTTTGCACATTATCATTACGATCATTACATTACACCGAATCTGGAGTTCAGTCTGTTATCCGTTATATATCATTAAAATGTTAACAACCAGTTATTGCACAGTGTACGGTTACGAGTCTATCTTCCCACTATTATCCCACTTATTGTCCAGTTAATATGTACTGTGAGGAGAGAAGCGGCTCGTGTACAGCGACAAAGCCTTTCAAGGATTTTCAACACTTTGCTCCGTGGTGCAGTGGTACTGCCTACGCGGATCTAACGACGTGTCACGTAGCCGTTCGATTACCCCATCGGTGCATTTTCGGTTTCTCGGTTTCCTTCGGATGCCGCTCGGCTGAGAGTACTATTCAACTAGTTATCCAATTATGACTACTTCGCTTACTCGCGTTCCGACCGCTTACACAGTATACTGTCTTTCACGTTCCGTCCGCCCGATCGCATTCGTAGCCCCTGCAGCGCGCGGCTACGTGGTAATTAGCAGCAGACTGCACTTTTCAGTTTATTTTTCCCCAGCATGTCAAATTACTAAATTTTAATCCTCCGAAGTATATTGTTACTTACCAGGACACATTTTACGGGTCCCAATTCAGAAAAATCTGATCTTTGGCATAAACATAGTATACCACCGTAGTACTTATATTTAAAAAATAATTTCAGCTGCTGACACTCAAAGGGCGTGGCCAAAACACAATTAAAAAGTAAGTAATACTGCATGTTATTACAATGCACTAGCGTTATATCCGCACAGGCTTTTTACAAAATAAGAGCGTATCAGGAAAGTTTCACCTCTTGCAGAAACGTGGTATTTTGCCACATTATGATTAATGAAAATTTTCATGTGCAGACGTTAAGACGACACAGTAGAAAAACCATTTTGTAGCTGCTATTCTTTGCAGTAGTGCAACAGTACAGTACGTACCACATACTGGCAATGTAACTGCATTCTCGATTTTGCTTTTTCTCACTGTGTGCAGTGTGCTCCCGAAACTTGTGATAAATATTAAAGTTCATTGTTTTTTGACTGTGCTGTAGTCGCACACTGTCATTTGGCAAAATATGAGAATTTCCTGATTTATTATTATTACATGTACTGATACAAAATTATTATTACATGTCCTTCCGGTTGCAAAAGGCGGTCTCGGAATAAGAAGTCTGGAGAAGCTTGCACTTCCGGCTTTCCTGGCCTCGGCTTACTCTGTGGCTACATTAACTTCAGAGATCGTTGATTTTCATCCGGAGACGTACTGCCTGGATGCCGCTGCAGAGTGGCAAGAAACAACCCAAAACGACCTCCCACCCCCTAATGCGAGAAAACTCCAGAAAGTATGGGATGAACCCATAGTCGAAAGCACCGTGCAACGGGTGCAAACGGCTATCGGGAATGACCTCTCCGGTCAAGCGCGGTTCTTGGGTGTCAGCACAAAGGAAAATGGAGCGTGGCTGGGAGCACTTCCAGCTGCCTCACTGGGCAATCTCCTCACCGATTCCGCGGTCAGAATCGCAGTGGGCTTACGCCTGGGAGCACCGGTCATTACCCCACACCGTTGTGTTTGCGGAGATTGGGCGGATGCCCGCGGCTACCACGCCCTCAGCTGCAAGAAAAGCCGTGGAAGAATTCCTACCCATAAATGTCTGAACGCTATTTGGAAGCGCAGTCTCGCCTCCGCCGGCTTCGAAAGCGAATTGGAGCCACTAGGTATCTGCCCAACAAATAACAAGCGCCCTGACGGCGTTACGCTGACACCATGGGAAAGAGGGCGAATGTTGGCATGGGATGCCACGTGTGTTAACACCATGGCCATTTCGCATATCGTGGCAACGTCTACACGTGCGGGAGCGGCGGCAGCACAGGCCGAGCAAAGCAAGGCGGAAAAATACCGGGACATCACTCCAAATTACCTTTTCAGCGCCTTGGGCTTCGAGACGGTTGGACCGCCCGGACCAGAAGCAACCCGCATGATGACAGTAGTTGGACAGAAGATTCAAGAGGAAACCGGCGAAAAGCGGGCCACAGAATTCCTGCGCCAGCGGATCAGCATCGAAATCCAACGAGGCAATGCGGCATCTATCCTGGGAACGGCACCGATGGGAGCAAATTTAGATCAAATGTTCTCTGTGATTAGGCCGCATGAGTCAGTTGATGCTGTGTAATAAGTGAACTCTCCTGAGGTTGTGTAAGAAATATATGTTAAGAAATTTGTAAAAAAAACTGATACAAACAGCTGTTAGAGTACTACGCTAGTGCAGTGCAGTACATACTACATAGTATGTAGTATGTATGCACTACTGCAAAGAATAGCAGCTACAAAATGGTTTTTCTACTGTGTCGTTTTAACGTTTGCACATGAAAATTTTCATTAATCATAATGTGGCAAAATACTACGTTTCTGCAAGAGGTGAAACTTTCCTGATACGCTCTTATTTTATAAAAAAGCCTGTGCGGGTATAACGCTAGGGCATTGTAATAACATGCAGTATTACTTAGTACTTACTAATATTAATTTTGTTTTGCCACACCCTTTAAGGTGAAAATTCGGTAAATAATTGCTTCGTCTCAGTATTGTATGTTATACTTTCATTTGATGTGTCACAGTATAACCTACTTTATAAAAAAGTCCGGTTGAAAAACAATCACCCATTCAAAAACTAACTGGGATAAACTGCTCCGGACCCGTGTCGTGAAAGTGTTTTCTTTCCCCTGAACAGGATGTATGGCTCGCAACTGCTCTCTACCCGTTCTGTCATGTCTGTCCAGAAGCACAAGTTGCACAACGCCGCACAAGACGTGGCCGCTTGCGCGCGCAGGCTGTAGTCAGGCAGACAGTCTTTGTGCGTTCACTTCAGTACTGTTAGCATGTTATTTATTTCAGGGTATTCATGTTTGTTCCATTACTGCATTAATATGGTTGTGTATGGTTCAATCATTAACGTCTTAAATGTTTCAAAATCACACCAAAGCAAAAGTGCAAAAAGAGCGACAGAAATCAGTCCACTCTGAGAGAAGATATAGCACTTTAAAAATTTTAAAATCGAATTAAGAAAAGCCGAAATTTTTTTCAAAAAATCTGTAACGTACACTTTTTACTTAATGTTATAACACGTAATATGTTCGCTCAGGGGGTATCGAAAATGTGAAGGAGTCGAATGCAGTTCGAAGAAAACCTTTTTGTTTACTGACCGGTGTTTACTGCGAGTCAATCGGTATTGTGCTGGTCATGGCACACCATTGGGTAGCAAAATCATTCTGCTCTTTGAAATCAGAAAGAATACCGTAATACACTGATGTGCCAAAGAATAAATGCGTCATAACCAACATGCTCTATAATTACCGTATTTTCACCTTAAGTGTCAGCAGCTGAAATTATTTCTTTAAATTTGAAGTGTGATGTAGTTGGCCCGCGCTTGCCTTTTTGTTATTTGATGGCTATTGCCTATTTCTTTAAATATGTATACTACGATGGCATACTGTGTTTCTGCAAAAGATCAGATTTTTCTGAATTTGGACCCGGAAAATGTGCATATAGTAGTTCATTAAAACCATAAAATGGTTAGTAGTTCATTTCTTTTTCGCAAACTGCTTATCGTTTTGCAAGTAAGTGGCCAGTAATTAAGTTACGAAAATTAAGTGACGAAGCGAAGTAAAGTATTACATGCAGTATTAGTACTGTAACCGTGAGTGTAACGGCATTACCAAACTGCATATTTCTGGCCTAACCAGGGCCCGATCTGACGATCCCCCCTCCCCCCGCTTACCAACAGTTTGGCTGGCACAGGAATACAGCTCTCACGCTGCAGGTACAGTATAGCTCCAGGTTACCCATGCCAAGGAACACTCCCCCATGGCGTTGATCCATTTCGCGATTGAAGACTTCACCCAGAACTGGACAATCGCTGGGCACAAACGTGGCCGGCAGCGGACACGAGCGGATGAGAAAATCACCTCGCTGCACCAGCCGCAGGCCGCCCTCCTTGCCCGCGGGCGGTGGGCGCACTTGCTCAAGGCCGACTAGTTCGCGGACGGTACCGTAGGGCCGTTGCACGTCCACCAATTCAAAATCCTCGTAGCGGTAGCTGTCAACGGGGACGACTGTCCCGGGATACCAGATCCAGACGCCGTCGGGATGACGCCGCAGCAGCACCTGCGCGTCCGCCGTCGGGCGCCTGAAGCACTGGTCGCAGCGGAAGATGCTCCCGTACGCTACCAGCTCCGAGCGCCGTTGCGGGCACTGGAAATCAATGATCAGCCCCGTCTCCGTCACGTTGATCACGCGGCCATAATGAAGCTGTCCGTTGATCAAGACATCCACGGCGTTCCATTCAATCACGTCGTCTCCGTAAGCCAGCATCGAAGTTGAAATTGTTTTCTTGCATGGAACTAGGCCCAGCTCGCGTGATTAACACAGACCGTCTAGTGCCGAGACTGCGAGTGTCCCGAAACCCTGGATAACGTCGTACATACTAGCCAAAGCCAGGCTGCTAAAATTTGTGGAGTTAAGATGTATGAAATGGTAAATACAAAGCCAAAACAACCCAGTTGTGATGATTTATGCCTGTGTTGGGTGAATCAGGGGATTCTGAGCGATAAGAAACTGACATTCCAACAGTTCACGTACTTTGCATGAGTAGCTGCCACATTGGTGTCATAGGTATTGCTAAGTACCTATAAGGCTATACCCTGTAAATCTACAATATGAACACGTTGGGTGGTAGTTTTTGACATAAAAGGGGATAAACGGGAGGAAATACATAAAAAGTAAACTGTAAACATTTAAACAAGATTGTAGCATTGCTGCTATTCCAGGAAAATCCATCAACAGGAACATTTTTGTAGCTAACCACCATCTTGGGCGGTTGCAGTATATAGTTGGAGCACGCTAACATAGCCACCGCTCGGGGCGAGCAGTGCACCTTCAAAAGGGCGCTTGTTGCTGTGCCGTGGCTTTAACCGGAACTGTTGAGTTTTGGTATTGTTATCACGTTTTTTGAAGGATAAAGATGGCTTAGGATGCCGGCTGCTGTGGTTAGGACGTATGTAGGTAGTAGGTAAGCGCTTTTCTTCGCTGATCATTTTGTTAAGCATTAATAATTTGGGATTGGGGACAGAGATTTTGGTTGTTTTTTCAATGTTTAAATTTTATCTGTGTAGTGTGCCCGCGCTTGCATATTGTTGTTTTGATGGCTATTGCCTATTAAGAAAATACCATTTATTATGCAATCCATGCAGAGATCGATCAGCAGTTTCGTATTTCCGTTTTTCCTGAGCACGCAGTAGCCCCGGCCTCCGCGGGATGAAGCTGAAAATTATTATTTATTTGTTTTTGTTTGTTTATTTGTTTTGCCGATGCTTTTCAGTTGGGAACCTTGATGTATCAAGTTTCTGTTTTTTTTGTGACGCTGTCACCAATGACGTTCTCAGGCTGCATAAACCGAAAAAATATTGACCCAGGTCAGAGCTGTAACGTAACGCTTGGCAAGGTCAATTTATATATTGCACCCCCACCCTCCCCCCTCTAAAATCAAACAGGGCAACTTGCATAAATTAAAACTTCTTAGAAGTTCAGAACGATTTAGTATACACTTCGCTTATCGCGTTAAGATGTTTCACTACGCTGCAGACGACCGCGTGAGCTGGCTGGTGTTGGTGGCGAGGCAGGGCGTATTGGCCACCTCATCCCAGAAGCGGATCATCTCTACCATGTTGTGTGTCCCGAGCTGCCACTGCGCCGCCTGGTTCAACTCCATGTAGCGGCCGCCCTGGCTGAAATCCGCGCCCTCCATTCGTCTGCAGCAGTACACACACCGCTGTCAGCCTGTTCTTTGTCAACCGGAAGTACAATACATACCCGTTGTAAGCTATTTGCCGCAGCATCTGCCGCATACTGTTGGTCATCGCCGGGTTGAGTTGTACGCCAAAGGGCGACGGATTGCCGAAGATATGCTGGATGTCCAACGTATGGAAGGCCCCTGAAAGACAACCTCGGTGACCTTTGAGGGGAACAGTAGGTGACAGATGGACCTACCTAGACCGGTGCCGGCGTCGTATGTGATCCGGAAAACCTGGCTGGACGGCTGCCAACCGCCCGGCGGGTGGCCGCGCTGGGTGTAGAAAGCTGCTTCCTTGGCGGCGGGATACCCGAACTGTGATTCACTGCCCAACTGCAAATTACCCAATACACTGATTCGGGGTGGTTGAAAAACGATCGAAATGGCTCATTTAAAGGAAGTAAAAATCGCAGCAAGGTTCTGACAAATAACGTTCTGACTCCCTCTTCCAATCATTTTGTCCGCATTCACCTTCATGATAAAAGAAGTATATTTATATAAGCAGATGCATGATAACATACCTGGAAGAGCTTCCATAGCAGCTGTTGGCGCGTATCGCTAATGGTCATGTTGAAGCGCTGCATAACACGCTGCGCCAGCGCGTAATTGGGTTGGCTACACACCTGGCCGGAACCGGTGCTGGTCAGCAGGAATTGCCGGGCGATCAAATCACACACCGTTTCTAGTGTCAGCGGCTGGTTTTGGTCGAAGAGATTCGGAAAGGTCACTGCCGATAAATGCAGCGGCGCTCACTTCAGAGTTCTCACAATTATGAGTGTTTACTTACACTGCAACAGGAAGGAGACGTCTTCCCGGAGATATCCTGTTAGGATGCTGACGGCGTTGGAGGGGTCTCGGGTTTCTCGTTGCAGTGCGCGGACCGGCAGATCCCGGATGTGATCGTGATCCACCACCAAGCCGTACTTTTGCGTAATCTACGACAATCGGTGGAAGATTGTTAGCATGCCCGGAAACTGACTATTTCTTAGATTTCTTGGGTTTCTTAGATTTTTAAAGCGGCTCAACGTACCCTGCCTTGGGAGGCGACGGATGCCGCCTGCGTGATTTGCTCCGCCGGCAACTGCTTCAAGCAGGCCACCAGTTGCGCCGTGGTGCTGCTGGAGCAGCCCACCGCGTTCCCGAAGGCGAAGGCCTCAGAGCGCGGATCCCGGATGTACAGGGTGTCCACCATGACGCTTCCGCTCATCATCACCGCCCCGCGGACCTCTCCTGCACACACCAGGACCTTATTTTAGTTATAACAAATTAGAAACGTTCTCACGTACGTCGGACATTGGGATCAAGGAGAAGCGCCGAGACCATGGTGGCGCCGGCGCTCTCGCCGAAGATGGTGATTGCGTTCGGGTCACCGCCAAAGCGCAAGATGTTGGCGCGGATCCAGCGCAGCGCCAGCTTGCAGTCGGCCACGCCGTAGTTGCCGCTGGCCACCCCGTCGGCGGTGCTCAGAAATCCTGTTTAAATTAAATTCCCGTCGTCAAAAAAATGCGGAAAAAAAATTATAATTAACTATTACTGTAGTACGAAAAAATTAAAAAGGAACTGTTTTAAATAAATTATATTCACACTAAGCATATTTAATAAATAGTTCCGACTCACCGAAAACGTTGACGCGATAATTGATGGTGACGATCACCGCGTTGATACTGTCGGCCAACGCGGAACTATTAAACGAGTCCTTGTCACCGGCTGTAAATAAATGAACAACGCAGAATTAAGTAGCAGTAAAATCCACATATCCAATGCCGGTAACAAGGAAATTATCATTACATTGCAATGCGCCGCCGTAAATGTACACCATCACCGGCAGCGGCGGCAGGCGTTCACCCCGGGGACCGTGCCCCGTGGGCGGGACGTACACGTCCAGATACAAGCAGTCCTCGTTCATGACCTTCGGGGCCATCATCGGGGGGACCATTCCCGACGGGGTCGTTCCCGAAGAGGGCATTCCGGGGAAGGTCATTCCTGGCGTGGTCATTCCCGGTGGGAACATCCCAGACGGAAGCATTCCTGAGGACATCCCCGATGAGGACATTCCTTGTGGGAACATCCCAGACGAGGGCATTCCAGAGGACGTTCCCGGTGTGGTCATTCCCGGTTGGAACATTCCCGATGAGGACATTCCGGGCGGGAACATTCCCGACGAAGGCATTCCCGAGAAGTTGCCTGATGAGGACATTCCCGGGGGGACCATTCCAGAGGAGGGCATTCCCGACGACCCGGATCCCGACGGGGACAGTCCCGGCGGTCCCATGCTCGCCTGGGGACACACCGGACCCTGCCGCGGCCGGGATTGGTTGGATAAATATGTGAAGTCAAAGTTCTCCATGGGTGGCTGTCCAAACACCGAGAACGTCAGCCGTATAATCAGGGATAAGGGAAGAGAAGCTGCCACGTACCTCAAAGCGGCGGGCCACGCCGTAACGGATGCCCAGATAGGCGTAGCCATACCGGCCGGGTTGCGACTGCGACGGAACAGCGTCGCCGTAAAACGTGACGCCGGACGGGAGTGTCACGTGGCCCTCCTGACCGGAAGTAAGGGAAAGGAACGTCCCGAGGATCAAAACAGGAATGTACGGTAAATACATTTATAGAGCGGGTAAATAAATTTCTAATAGAAATTAAAATGATTATGCTGGGCTGGCGTGCAGCGATCAGCTGTAGAAATAAGAGAGCGACTGAATTATAATAGCACAGGAAGTTACCGGCAATGCTGTTATAAGCGGCTCAACAGGTAGGCACATGCGTCAAATGCCGGTTGGGGTGTTGTGTGTGGAGTGTCAACAGTGTGACCGCAGCACGTTTTGGATTGTTCTGTTTGGCGGGGATGTGTCAGTCGCCCGTATGGAAATCTGCTTGACTCAGCAGCCGGCTTTTTTCCCGCTGCCACGGCATTCGGCGTATTACAGCTGGAATCCGGCTGGAATGCGCTGGCTAATGGAAACAACGTGCCAAGCCGGCAGTTTGGATGTTAATGTGGAAAACTCGAAAGTAGTTTGATATTACGCATCCATGTTGTTTGCCGCTTTGCCGCGCCGGTGTTGTGCAATTATTATACATGCAGTTATACGCCGTCTGTTCCCACTATAGTATGTTGATTGCTATAGTGGTAAACGCCGCGTCCGGTCAGGATAATAAGCACGAAAGAAAACAGCAAAAACTTATTATAAATTCCCGGGTTACGCCCAAGTCAAAGCAGCCGTAGCATTTACAACTACCGAGATGAAACAGTGGTGCCCGCTTTTCTTTAAATCCCGGATTTACCGGGAGGTTTGGTATTCTGGGAGATTACGATTTACGAGGGAGTTAGCAACCTTTGCTCATTACCCGTGTACAACATTAGAGCCACGTGAAGAACTCATTAAACATTACACGAGTATCTCTACGTACAACCGTAGCAAGCGGATTACAACCGACATTAATTTTAATGGGATAAGGGTTCACTGACGATAAATTACTCACTCCAAGCGCTGTACCGGCATGGACTGTGCGTGCGAGTTGTGCGACAAACACACCGGCTTGTCAGTTGCGATGACGACGCTTATTTACTGCCCGAGCTGCGGGCTGGCTTCGTGTCATGCCAGTTATTACAAACATTATCCTGGTGGAATAATTAACCTGTTAAACATCCAGAGCAGCATGCATATTCCTGTGGTCGTCCAAGACCAACGTTGCCGCTGTGACGCCGCACGTGAGATGTACGCGTATTACTGTTGTTTAACGGAGTGCGGTGACTTGACTAGCCGTAGTATATTTGACGTTCTTCGTGAATAGCGCCGAATTGTCCCCGACTTGGCTACTCAATAAACAATCTTTCTATCAATCAATCAGGATGCAGCAGCTGGTTGGCGATGCTTTGCGTCCAGCTGCGCCACCCTCGCCTTCCCCGTCAGAATTCCTTTTCTTTTTTTTTTCAGCACCGCGGACCGGGATTCTACCGAGGCGTCCAACCTGCAGCTCTCCAGGTTCCACGCCACTTCCGGTGTCCTGGAGAGCCTCTCCCTTCCGAACAGCTTGACCACAACGCGATTTATGCCATCCTGCACCCGCTTGCCCACCGGGGAGATCCTCCGCAAAGCGCGCTTGAACGACGCCGGCGTCGGCTGGATGTCCATCGCCCTGGACGTCCACCGTACTACCGTGACCTTTCGCCAGGTCCCGGTCGTCAACGATCTCCGCTTTCTCCGTTCACACCGACCAATGTGCGTCGGGGGAGCCGTATACGGATTCACGAGGGGGAACGTCGCCGACACGCGGTTTGTACGTGTGGATTGGCGCAGCGGAGAAACGGAGGATTTGTCGAATCCTCCGACTAACGGAAGCGATGTCCGGTTAGTCAATCAGTCACTACAAAAATATTTGTGAAAAATATTGTATAAAACCTTGTTTAAAACCTTGTATAAAACCTTGTATAAAAATTGATTTAGAAAATATCTTTAAAATAAAAAGTATTTTTAAATAAAATAATTCATGCTTTGTTTTAGGGGCGATTACGCCAGTGTATGCACGAGTGAGGGAATTTTCTATTGCGGCGGCTGGCACTCATCGTCGACCGCCAGCCGGGCGGCGGAGTTATTTAATCTCACCACTAAACATTGGACTACGCTACCGGAAATGTTGATAGCGCGACGCGAACACGCAGCGACCGTGGTGGACGAATTTATCTACGTCACGGGCGGTTGGTCTGACGACTGCTTAAGCGCTTGCGAGCGGTTCAACCGGCAGACGCACAGATGGGAGCGGACCGCGGATGTGCTCCAGCCGCGGTGTTGTCATGCCGGTTTTGTCGTCGACGGTCAGCTGTATGTGTTCGGCGGACAGAGCGACCGCACCGTGACGCCGGTCGACACCATGGAAGCGTACGATGCGCGGGCGGATAAATGGCGGGAAGTTCCGCTTCGGGATGAAAGGGATAAGGAATGGGCGGGGCCATCGCGTCGCAATCAAGTGACCATATGTTGTTAGTTGCTGGTTATATCGTTTGCAATTTATTTACATTTTCTACTGGTATTTAATTTTTTTTTGCATTTTATTTGCTTACATTTCCATGCAATCGACTCTTTTACTTGCATTTATTTCATATAAGTATCCAATTTATTGGCATGTTTTTGTATTTAATTATTCGCATTTAATTTGTTTAATTATTCGTAAAAAAAACTGCCATTTGTATATTAATTCGCCGTCTTGTTTGTATTTATTTATTTTCTCAAAATATATAAATTCGCGAATGGATCGGCATCAATGGCATGTAAATTTTAGTCGCATTTTTAATTTCTCTCATTTCACTAAGATTTTAACAGCATTTTCGCTGCTTTTTGTTTGCCTGTTTTTCCCATTTGTATTCGCTTTTATCTCCTTTTTTCCTATTATTTGAGTTTTTTTTTGCGCTTTATTCCCATTTTTTTGATAACATTTAATTCTATGGAATATAATTCGTATATTTGCCGATAGGATACTGTGAATTTTACAGCTTTTTAATTTTTTACTGATTAAAAAAGACTATAATTATTACTGTATTACGCGTTTAACACAAGAAGCCAAACGCCGGATTTGATTGTCGAATTTACTGATCAATTTCTCTCCAGTGTAACATTCCATTAAAGTAATGCGTAAGTAACTGTGCAAGGTAATACAAAGGGGCCAACAAAAGACTCTCTACTATTCCCATAATCTGAAGATCGTTTATCAATGGCAACAAGTGCTTCAAAACAAAAAACAGAGAAAAACACTCTTCCCAGATCAACGCTGCGCACCACCGTCACTTCCCTGTTCCTCGTCCATACACAACAAAAAAAGCGCGCCAAAACCCTTCCATTCAACTTTTCTCGCGTTCCTTCGAGCCGGCGCCGTCCCGTTCGCGTTCCCGTTCGCGTTCCTTGCGTTTCTCCCGTTCCCGGTCGCGGTCGCGCTCCCGCTCCCGTGACTGACTAGACCCGGACTTCCCGCGGGATAAATCGGTGGCGGTGGCCGGGGACTCCTTCCCGGTGGCCCCGCCCCCCGTCCCGTTGACCGGGAGGGGCGCCGCGGGGCCCCCGGACATCCCCAGTCCCGGGGGGGTCGCCAGCACCCCGGGGGGCAGGGACATCCCGTACAGATCCGGGAAGGGCGCCCGCAGGAGACTGGCCATCATCGGAGGCCCGCCGCCGGCGCCCCCCGGGGGCGGGAGGCCGTTACGTAATCGCAGCATCTCCCGTTCCATCCGCTCGCGCTCCAACGCCACCCGCGACCGCCAGAAGACGTCGGCGGTGGCCGGGGGCGGCCACATGTTGGCGAAGGGCGGGAACATGGACGCGGCCGACGCGGCGTTCAGCTGCGAGGACAGGAACGTCGGGAAGCCCGGTCCGGGGCCCGGGAGGTCCGCCGGCGGCGGTTTCCGCTCCGGGGTGGGCGGATTGCGGGGGTTGCGGAGATCCATGGCTTTGGCGGAGGGGCCGGTGCTCGGCGGGTGTCCGGCGTCCTTTTTGGGGTCGGCGGGGGCCGGGGGCGGGGTGGGCGCCGGGGGTTTGTCGGAGGGGGGCGCCGGGGTGCGTTTGCGTTTGGGTTCCCGCAGGTCACGGGTGTCGGCGTCGGAGGGGCGCTTGTCGGGGCGCGGGGGGTCCTCGGGGGCCGCGGGGGGCTTCTTCTCGCCGTTCTCTTTGAGGGAGGAGGACTGGCTGGCCCCGTGTGCGGGGAGTGGCTGGCCAGGCCCCCGAAGGCCATGGGGCGCCGCCAGGCGTCTTGGAGGGCCGCCGCCGAGGGGCTGGACAGGCTGTTGGAGAGGCTGGACTGCAGCATGTTCATCTCGCGCCCGCCCATCAGCGGATTGGATGTCGCTGGAAGAAAATTAGCTTTTTACATTTTATTTTCAATTTTCTCGGTTTCAGTTATTTGTTTCCGAATATTTATCATTTTTTTCTGATTTCCTTTCCAATAATTTACTCGTTATTTAAATGTTTACTTTTTATTAATCTTTTCATCGTTTTAATTATTTCTGATTTTTTTGTCGGAGACTTTAATATGCAGATATTAATAGACTTTAATATGAGATTTTATTTTAATATTTATCTTAATATTTTTTCATACATTGATTTTCTTTTCCCGATTTTTTTCCGCTGTTTATTGTCATATATTTTTCCCAAAATTTTTCTTTTTTTTTAATGGAAAAAAAGCTCCAGTAAACGCGGAGAAAATGACTTACGGAATGGGAGTCCGCTGAGCTGCGGGGGAAGGCCGTAGAAGGGCGGCCTTACCGGCCATCCGCTGGGCATGCGGGCCGCACCGGGCTGCAACAGACTGGACGCCAGATCCGCGCCCGGCATTCCCGGCCGGGCGAAATAACCTGCGCAACCAAACACACCGTTTCATACGCGAAAAACAGCCAGCTAAGCGACTAATAATAACACATTATCATTTCTCTTTTAAATTTTTTTTCTGTTCATTAACACCTAATTCATCAACAATTATTCTAGTTTAATAAACCGCTTTACTAAACGAACAATTGCAAAACAGGTCGGCACTTTTATCTCGCAAAAATATAAAAAATTTTATAGAGTGATTATTTCTTATTTACGTCTCGAAGAAAGTTCCTCGTTCTTTATAAATTATCTTAGTCAATAAGAAAATTTTAAAAAATCATAACTATTTTTTTAATCTTAACCTTAACTAAATGATTTTTATTATTTCATAAATACGAGTACAGGACATGAACGAAAATAGTTAGTCACAAATTCACAGCAACAGAATCCATTAACTTATTATTTATTTATATGTTTTTATTTAAGTTGTCTAATAAAATAGGCTATATGCCTTTTCTAACTTTTCTAGTAAAACAAGCTACAGAAAATTTAGAAAAATATAAGGAAAACAACGTTAATCTTGTTCAATAAACGGCCAACGTACTGGATGCGAAAGTGGCGGGCGTGGGAAGACTCAGCGACAGGGAATGCGACGGCGGCGGCGGCAGGGCGCCCATGTGCAGGGCCAGGCCGCGCGCCGACAACGGCAGCTCCTGGCCGGGCCGACCGCTGGCCACGGCGGCCGACAGATCGCCCAGGCGCAGCGCCTCGGCGGCGTTGTCGTTCTGCTGCTGCTGCTTGCGCTGGTGGTTGTAGATCTCCCAGGCGATGCGCACGTGCATGGCGCACCACTTGCCCGGCTGTTTGGGCGGCGGCGGGGCCACGGCGCTGGGCGGCGGCGGCAGCGACAGACCGGGGATGCCGCCGCCCGTCAGGGGGTTAGGCGGGCTGGCCAGGCCGTGCGGAAGCCCCGGCACCGGGAATCCCGGCATCGAGCCCGGCAGTCCTGGCAACTGTCCAACAAAAAGCAATTAAATAAGCGAAAAAGGATAAAAAATCTACTTAATATACGAGTATATTTTCACAGTTTTTTTTAATAGATCTGATATTTTCCAGCGGGGATAATTTATTAAATTGACAAAAAAAGGAATTAATTTTTCCTTTTTAAAACTTTAAATGGTTTTAAACATTAAACCAAAATTTTTTTAACGTTTTAAATAATTTTGAAAATTTATGAATTCATTTGAATAAAAAAATTTTACTACTATTTTCCAATGAGATAAATTAAAAACCAGAATTTCTTCTTATTTCTCAATCTAAATAAAACTGTGAAACAAATACTGCTGAATTTTATTTTTCTTGGTAAATAAATCAGGATATTCGCTAAATGAAAAATAAGTTTATAAGATATAGAAAATAAGTTTATAAGAGTAGATATCAGTAATTTAAATAAACAAAAAACTGCTGTTACTGGATAAGATAATAAAAAACTGCTTACGCCTGATGAGAAGGAAGGCATGGATGTCGCCACTCCGGAAGTGCTGAGGAAGGAATGCCCGCCGCCCCCGGGGAAGGCCGGACCGGGCGTGCTGACGGCCAGACCGCCGGGGCCGCCGGGCAGCGAGGGGAACCCGAAGAAACCGGTCTGCCTGTCAAAACCTGCGAAAAGTATAAGAAAACATGAGAAAACATAAGAAAACGCTGCACAGTCAGTTTTCCCTTACCGGAAGCCAGCATGGCCATGGGATTGGCCGACATGGCGGCGGCGAAGCTCATATTGGATCCGAGCCCCATCAGCGGCGAGGAGAACATGCTCCAGCGCGAGGACGCCGCCGGTCCGCCACCACCGGCCGCCGAGAAGGCCACGGAGGACAGCGGGCCCAGGCCGTGGCTGTTGCCGCCGGGACCGCCGCCCTGCGGGGGGAAGGAGGGGGACAGGGGGGCCACCGGGGGCGAGTGGAAGATGTGCGGCGTCAGGGGGTTGACGGGGTTGGGCGAGTGCAGTAGCGGGTTGAAGAGGCTGCTGCTGGCGCTGCGCTGCGGCGTCAGCGACACCGGGGCGGGGGCCGCGCTCGAGACCTGCGGGCTGGCGTGCCGGAGGGGTTCCGCTCTGTGAAAAAAATCATCAGAACACTGCGCAACATACAAAGATTTTTATAAAGGTCACTGGTTTCTTGGATTTCTACTGATTCATCAAAAAAATCATCAGAACACTGCGCAACATACAAAGATTTTTATAAAGTTCACTGTTTTCTTAGGTTTTACAGCTCTTCAATTTCTCGGGTTTCTTATATGTCTTAGGTTTCTTAGATGCCTTCATTCAATTTTTCCTTTACAGATACCACTTAAAGTTTTCAAAAATTAATTTTTCAAAATATTTTAGGTTATATTTTTGAGTTTCTATATTTTCTTAAAATTAAAATTCTTTTTAATTGTTTTAAATAGATTTGCTTCCCTAGATTTTCTCACACATTTGTATTTTTAATCTAATTTTTGTATTTGGCTTTTTTATATTTTTGTTTATTCTTTATATTTCTTATATTTCCGAGATTCTATAAGGTATAGAAGATTTTCAGGTTTGCTCGGTTTTTTAGGTTTTCTTAGGTTATTCGTAGGTTTCTTACCGTGCTATGACGGAGACATGGGCCGGCGTCTCGCTCTTCTCCTTATGCTCACTCTTCCCGCTCTCCTTATGCTCCTTCTCTCGGCTCTCCCGTCGCTGCTCCCGTTCCCGATCGCGGGAGGCCTTCTTCTCCTTGTGCCGGTGGTGCTTGCTCTTCTCGCGGTCCCGCTCGCGTCCCTCGCCGAGTTTATCGCGCTGCGCCGGCGACGCCGAGGCAGCCGTGTTGACGGTGACGGGCGGGCTCACTTCCGGTTTCGTTACCGGGAAACTGTTGCTGGTGGGCGGCGCGACGGGGGCGACCGCGGGACTGCCGACCAGCGCACTGGTGTCGGGCTGTTGCGGCTTCTGGCTGGAGTCGGCCAGCACGCGATGCGGCTCCTGCGAGCTGGAGGGGAAGGGACTGGACTCGGGTTTCTTGGTAATGTTGACCTCCAGCGGGAGGATGCTGGGCGTCACGGAGGGGGACACGCTGTCCTTGTTCTCACGCTGCAAGGGAAACCAATGAGCCTTAGCAACGATTTCTTAGGTTTTCTTAGGTTTTCTTAATCTTCCCGCACAAATAAAGGGAAAATACAAAATATACGTAAATATGTGCTATCTGTACAGGGTAACAGGCATATTGGTACTTCTATATATATGCGCAGTGGCCATCGTTCTGAGCGCTAACATCGCGATCGCTGTACCGCCTGCAACGCAGCCCGAACGGGAATTACTCCCAGCGCAGCTGTCGCGTGCGCCCCCGCTCCACCGGGTCCCCCACTCCCGCGGGACTGGCCCCCCGGGCGGCCAGTCCCCGGCACGCAGCCTGCGCCGGCCCTTTCCGCGCAACAGCTCCCGCGGGACGCCGTGCGCGCTGCTCATCACCCACGCGCGCGCGCGCGGTGTGGACTCCGTTTGCACTTTCAATCAACCGGTGCCTTCCCATACCACTAATTATCCCAGATTGTCAGTGCGCGCGCGCCTTCGTGCCGATATTAGCCCGGCCCGTACATATGCCTTAATGTGCGCCGGATAAAAGCGTCGTTAGCGGAACTGCGTGGATAGCTGTGCGGGAGAGAATACGCGGACGACAGGCCACACCGGAAACTATTCATCACTCTCCACTGCACAATGCCGGCAGCAGCACACAGCCCCCCAGAGTCATCTGCTCCCATTCTCTCTCCCTCTCGCTTCATCTCTCTCTGGCGCTGTTTACAGCGCATTTTTCCCTTCCCGGAACAGCCGCCAACACAGCCTGCGCTGGAGAGCTTAAACGCTCAGCAGCGGCAGCCGCGTTTAGAGGAAACCAAGCGCATCCGGCTATGGATGCTTGGCTGACCAGGCTTCTATCATTCCGTCACGCCCGACTGCCGATTATTAATATACAGCCAGTTACGTGCCGCGGCTAACGTAGTCATTTACGCTAACACAGCCGCGCTGCCACACAGCTCATTTCCCCTTCACACACTCGCGTAATTAACCGGCAATCAAACGCCGCACTGCACAACACAACAACCAGCCCACGCTTCTATCATGATACACAAACAAAGATTTGATACATTTCATATTACAACCATTTTTCCGTCTAACATTCGCAACACTTTTATGGCCGGACAGGCGTCGCATCAAAAAAATATGCACATGAGCGATTTCCTTCAGAGTAACCTGCATTCCTGTGGAAATCACTTTCCTGTCTAACATTATTTAAATTCTACAAAAATCTCAAAGCTGAACGTTGCAAATGAAAGAAATTCAGGGACTTCCGGTGCGTGAAAGCAATTGCAACCGCCCTGTACGGCAGCGTAATTTTATCTCGAATTTTTTTGGAAAAATCCCAGTCTTTCCCTTCTGATTTTCGTCCCAAAAAATTTCTCTGAACTGAGTGTATTAAAAAATTAATATTAAATAGGAGTTCAACATGCGCAAGAGTTGTTGGTATTTGAAGCCCGCTTACAAAAAACCAACCGATAGAAGAAAAATGCAACGTCAGTCGAACGTGAAATACTGCGCGGCGGTCATTTTTACCTGGCAGCAATCACGCCGTGCGACACCGAACCCTCCCGGTTCCCGCGCAGTGACGATCATCGCATTCCGTATTCCACGCCAGCGCGTCAACAAAGGTCAGAGGTTGTACACAGGCCGGAACCGGCGTGCGGATAATCCCGCACCTGATGATTAGCCGGGCACTGCGGCCCGCCGGCACTTGACACTGATGAGCAGCACCGCGCGGAGAAATTCACGCAATCTTTCTCAACTGCCATGCCATCACGCGGACGGGGAAAACACACTGCTCCCGCGCTGCCACTACAGACTACAGTCCAGCTTAGTGCGGCGGTTGGCAGCGGGTGAATAACGGCAGGCACTTGTGCCGGCGCGCTGAGTGGCCTGGTTAAGCTGCACGCATGAGCCGACCCGGCTGTAATATCGATGATGCCTCTCGTGGCTCTGTGCTAGCACACTATACAGTCAGTGGCAGTGAATTAAGGATAAGATGCACCGAGAATGGAATCCTCGCCAGCCTAAGCTAAATGCAAATTTCAAGTGCCCTCGCTGAACAGTCCATTACTGACGCATACACGCTTTCAAGGGCCGCTGTACAGTACACACTCCACTCGAGTGCCGGAGCGCCGTTTTCTGTACCAGCGGTTCGCGCGGCTCGACAACACCGCCGGTCCGGTTCGGGCCGTTCTTGTCGCTGTCACCCGCAAGGCGGACTAATTACGCGCTAATGACTGGCACACTTCAGTGTGCACAAAGCGATGAAAACGCGACAAACAACACGATTCACGGTCGCCATCGTGATTGAGTGCGGGAGAACGGGCTTAGTTCCCGGGACAGCCGCGTCTTCACGGGCACAGCCAAACTAACGTTATTCTCAAATAAATTCAACATGCGCTGATGCGCAAATAAGCGATGGGACAGCGCCGGCTTCCGGTCAATCAGCAGATAAACGTGAAGGCGAGAAATCGTCCGCAGATTATTCAAGTCAGACCTCTAAGACCGCTCTTGCGACAATGAAAAGAGCGGAAATATTGATTGAGAATTTGCTGTTATAAATACTAGTATGTTTATTTTTGGACCGAAAAAATGCAGGGACTTTACTGGGTCGGGGTGTTGTAAGCCAGAAGAGCAACCATTATATGGCGATCTGTTGAGACTCAATCACAACCGGAACATTTGTCCCGACCTGGCGTCCCGTTAATCGGGTTGCCGGCTTTTGATGCAGTAATAGTAATTTCTGGATGGAAGGGATTCACCGTGAATTTTTAATTAAATTTTAAGGCCAAGGAGAACCGCCGGCCAGCCGCAGCCCGACCGCGGCTCACTATCACCCGCGCGTTTTCAGCTATGCACACTGCGTGTGACTGTACGAGGGGGAGCTCATATTATAGACGCGGCTATTGAGAGCACCACACAGCCAGGCCAGCAACAAAATCAACTCGAGTCAACAATTTTCATCAAGTGCCCGTACTTGAAAGGGGAGATTTTCCTTAGTTTCTCATTTGGAGACAGCACTTCATGGCAAATCCACTCGGCAAATGAACACCCCTTTCAAATAAACACTTGGCCACACTTGACAAAATACCTACTTGCGAGAGAGCGGCTGTCTGCCGGGGCCGCTGGCTCTGCCACGGCACTGTACACACACTGCACAGTGCGTGCAGTCCCTAGGACACTCAAGCCGGCCCGACGGCCCAACCGCTCTCCCATGCATCACGACAAGTGCGCCGGCTGCGCCGAACACGCATTCGCCGAAAATGCAAATCGCATCGATCGGGAGGCGCTAATCAGTTATAAGAAATCCATGGAATTAAAATCAGCCCAATGACACCAACGATTTTGGATGTTTTTTCAATGTTTAAAATTCAGTCATCTGAATTACTGCAAATCGGTGATCACACCAACCGACCAACGTACCGGGTAAATCGGAGCGAGCGAAGCGCGGACCGACAACGGATGCCGGCAGCTAATGAGGCAGCCTGCTCAATCGCGTCAAACTGTCAGCGATATTCACACATAACAAGCATCTCCTCCGCTCTGCATCTCCGCGCGCCACAGACAGCCAAATGTATCCGCCACTCTGAACATGCGGGGCTTATTTTAGCCAAAGAAAACATCCGGATATGTCAGCGCGATCATTTACCAGCCGCAGCCGCTAACTACACTGTATCTAATACCCGGCAATATATAGCGCGCGGGCCGGCTATCCAAACAAATATATTGCGGAATGCACAACACATCAGCCTTTCCTATATAGTCCGCACAACACGTACACGTCCGTCGCAGTGGCACTTGACGGAGCGGGAAAGCCAGGGATAAGATTGACGCGGCAGCGGAGAAAACTATAATTTGATTGCCGCGACAAAGGGAAGATAAAAGGCACTTGAATAACAAGAGCAAGAGGCAGCGCTCTCCACGCCGCAGCAGCAGCAACTGCACGCTCAGCGAGTGGCCCGTGTAACCTGCACACAACGCCAGCTGAATCACCCGGGCGCTTGTACGAAGCGGAGCAGCAGCAGCAGCTGCAGCTAAGCACTTCACTCCCATCGCACACACACTGAACGCGCGCAAACCGATCAGTTGACACGGCCAAACAATCACATCTTCAGCCAACTTTACAGCCGCAGACATGGCCCAGCACAGCACATGTTCGATCTGTGCCGCGAGACTGCGCTGCATCGGAAAGGAAAGGGAGCGAACCGTCGCATTATACATGCGACACATTAGCCCGGACCGATCACATTAAGATTAACCAACAACTCAACATCCTCCCGTCGCGCGTCGGATATCTGCTTAACATGCGCTCCGATGACAAGCGTCGTTCTTAATTACACCGACCCGACTCAAGTGCATGTAATGCCTAATTTCAGACGCGAGCGGGTCAATACGCCGATCTATCTATCGATGAATTAGCATTAGCGCTACAATCACACACTATGTCGATAATAATGTCGCATTGATTTCCCGCGATTACAGCGCCCCCTTCGCCCGTACGCGCTCCCCGCTTAATAAGAGCAAATACCTCATAAAAGGCTTCCATTCTCAGCCGGCGATAAGCGGCCGAGACTAGAGCCGCGCGATAGAGAGAGGGAGGGAGAGAGAACGAGAGAGAGCGACGGCAGTGGATCAGAGTTAATTTTGACAATTGATTACCTGATGTAAACTGACAAATTCCCCTCTCTCTAACCGGCCGAATCAATACGGGCATCAAATGGCGCATACACAGCGCGCAGCGCGTTTACCTTCTCATCCGCAGCCAGCGGACTGTGGTGCAGCTGGATGACACTGCCGCCCCGGGCGTCCGCCGACGGAGGCTCGCCCCTGAGCCCCTCCAAGGTAGCTGGTCGGGGGCCCAATCAATCAGGCCCACAATTGAATATATCCCGTTAACATGTCAATTAATTTGTGCATATCCGCTTCATGGAGAAAAAATTGGCAGATTTAGTTGGCGATTCGACCAGACTAGAAGTCCCCTTGAAGTCTGCTCTTGTGCCGTAATAATAATAAGAATAATAATAATAATAATAAATGTGATGATGATGGGCACACGATGGCTTAATCAGCAGCCACGGATAACAAATTAACCGCCGCAATACGTCGAAGTAATCGACCGGGTTATTTGTACGCGTTGTCACGTTACACACCAACGTCGATATCGAGCGCGGCGGCGGCGGCTGGCCGGAGCGACAGCGGCGGCCCTCTTAAGTAAAGAAGCCAAAATGGATAATCATGCGACGGCTCTCTCAAAAAAGCCACAACGCCGCATCATAATAAAACGATTACCCGAGCAGGTTTCGGCTGGCAAGGTGGGCTCGCCGTGTGGAAAATAATGCAAGTGTGTACGTATACGCTCTCTGGCAGTGAGGGCTCTATCAATTTACGCTCCGCGAAAGCGATGCGATATATCGGCCGGGGTGCACTGTACACTGACACTCTATTGCGCATGTGCCGTTTACCAAAATAAAGCCAATCAATAAAAGCAACCGCAGAAAATGATACTCGCCGATCGAACGGCGCACACACACTCACACACACATACACACACACTACGCCCAGCTGCGACGTCACAAAGACAGCGCAGATATCCGTACGTTTATCGCTCGGGCATGTTAATGGCCCGTACATGTTCCAGCTGGCAGTCAAACTACACGACTTTCAACTGGATATTCCCACCGACCCAGCCCATCAGCTAGGCTCCCTTCCGGTCTACACGCTGCGGATATATCACAACCAGCGCATGATGGACGTCATCGAGGGAGAGAGTGTTTAATACAGCATGTCTGCAGCCGGCTCGTGTATATCAATCAGCCATCAAACCAGCAACATAAACACCAACAAACGCCATCGTTACCTAACGCTCTTTCTCCCTCTCTCTTTACTTAATGGATTCGCCTGCCGGGCTAGCGTCTTTCCTCTGACACAGGAAGAGCACCGGCTCACGGCATCCTACACGCTCATGAAAAACGACGTTCACACAGTCCTGCAATTCACGTCCACCATCTCCTCCAGCTTTTTTCCCTGTACCCTCGGCTAACGAACACAGCGCCTTTCTTCTTCCCCGCGCTTCCGTTCCACTGGCCCGGCCAGACAAAGGAAACGCCGGGTAAACGTCTATTTTTTCCCCTGTATCCCTGGCGCGAGGGGATGCAAGAGGGAGAGGCAAAGCCGGCCGGATAAGTAGCCAAATCATGGCGGCACGTAGCAGACCTCGGGGTCAATTCCCCGCTGATCGTTTGAGCCGCGGTCCATCCCGAGCGCCCGGCATGGTCCCGCTACGATCGATGCGTGTGTGCATGCACTGCACAGCGTTCATCGATGGCAATCGCGGCGATCGATAAAGGAAAGAGATCAATTGAATAAGCCATCATGTGCGGGCGCTGCTGCTGCTGCTATACAGCCATTACGGGGCCGGCCCGTAATGGCTGATAACTGTGCAATGATGCTAAGTGCGGAAGCTGCGTGGAAAAGTAGTACAATAACAGCGACGCAGCACAGGAAGCGGATACAGACAAATACAGCGCGCTCTCCCCTCCTCTCTCCTCTTTCTCTCCCCATCACCAACTTAACCGACCGACCCATGCCACCGACAGAAACGAGGGAACCCCGGCTAATGCCCGATCGATTTACAGCACAGGAAACACTTCCTGTCGCTGCGCACACGGATAATGTGTGTGCGCTGTGTGACTGGCCATAACGGATCGCCATTAAAAGCCCAACAACCAACCCATCACCAGCTCGTCAACCACCGCCCCGGATTCCCTGTCTCTCTCGCACGCATATCTCATTAAACCCATTTTCTCAAAATCCACTGACTATTTCGCTCACTATTATCTTTTTAATGGATATAAAATTAATCAAAATTTTCAAAAGCCAACGAACGGACAAAAATTTATTTATAAAACAAGTGCTACAAAATTCGATGCCTCATTAAAATAAAAAAAACTACTGCTAAAAAAATTATAAAAAAAATTTGGTAAAATTCAGTGCTTCGTTTTAACGCATAATATTATTTTTCAAATAAGCGCTTCTTTATTCGAGACCAGTCAGTTCCTGTTGCACACTGTTTGTTGATATCATCACTAAACTTACGAATCGTAACTGACCAAATTCCATTTTTCCCTATATTTTACGTTCATATTGCTACTGAGAAAACCAGCTCATCAAAAAATACAGCAGCACTTTGCGATTGCTTTATTCGGCTAGTTATTTCGAAAAAATATTCGAATTTTATTCAGCGAACTGTCTGGATAAAGCCCGCATTAGAAAGAAGCGCGAGCTCACTCGCTGGCGCCATCTTCCTGTTGGCGGGCGATGACAGATGGATCGATCGCCGCTGACACAATCAAATACACACACATTCCATCGACTTCTCTCTCCCGCTCGCGTTTTGAATGAGAAAGCGAAGCGGGGACACGACAGGAAGCAGCGCTATCCGGTAGCCTAATATTAGGATTTGCCGTTGCCGTTTGCCTTGTGTGCATGCGAGAGGGAGGGAGAGAGCAGCGACCGACTGCCTCGGCTCGCAGCCGGCCCCCAGCAGTGACAAAACGTTAACGTATTGATCCTACAATTCACTTGCGATTACTGATTGTCAAAGGATTAAACCGGCTCACAATAGCCGCCACAATTTCCGCTAATCCACTAACTTCACCAGAGATCTCCCTCTCTTCTGTCTATATCCTCTCTCTCTCTGACGGCAACAGCAGCCATAAGGGCTGCCTCATAGCGCAGCAGCCCAATGAGCGCCGGCTCCGTGAGTCACGCACACTGTATATCGCGCCATAATCGTCTAACGCGCGTCTAAATACACATTTAATGCTGGTAATCATTATTTAATTATTTACACCTGCCCGTCACAAGCGCTGCCAGCGACACTTTGTAGTTGCTTCTGATTAATTTCAACATACTGGCATATTTGGCCAATCACTTGACCCACAACAGCGTCGCCGATCGCCGGTTCCACAGTGAAAAGACTTTTTGTCTTCAAGCTGCTTATACACAAACCGGAAACCCGCCATACAGCGTCCCCCGAAGGCGATGCCATGGCAAACATTCTCAGTGTTCCACGGAACAATACAAGTGTCAGTTGGGGTGAGCATCATCATACTGTAATCCGTGGACTGATTCCTCTTGCCTGCCAACGCGCAGCGCCTCTGACATGTTGACACAGGCCAAATAAACTGGCTGACCACGCGCAGCCAAGCGTGCCCACTAGGTTATCCCGTGCTGCCGGGATTTGCTGTACTCTCCACGGCACAGAGAGAGAGTGGCTGGTGGGAAGCAGTCAAGCTGTCATTTTCACTGCCGGCAGGTTTACGACCCGCATATTATGCTGTACAATACATTTTCATCATCATCATCAATATATCCTGTCGCCCGGCATCATAACAACGCGCTCGCCTGTCAATAATCCGCAACTGCCCAATAGATACGTATCGTTCCACCTGTCTAGCGAATTAAAACAACCACCCGGTCTGGAGCCCTTAATTTTCGTTCTTGATTAATGAAAACATTTTTGGCAACCATGAATGCGCAGCCACCTGCCCACTTCCGCTCACGTACAAACAAGGTTTAAGTTTTTTTTCTGTTCGTATCTGCTTATGTAAACTGACGCTGCGGATCAAATTTATTAAGCACACACGCAGCTATCTACACATTCTCCTGCCTGCCTAACGAATTTAAAAAAAAAGCCACCTTTTTTTTCTACGATCTGGATCTCACTTTCCATCTCGATGCATGAAAACATTCTTGGCAAAGGCCTTTGCAGTCACCTGTCTACTTCCGCTCACGCACGAACACGGTTTATTACGTTTTTTTTATATTTATCAATTTATTTTGCAATATGTACAAAGCGAGCGCTTTTTTACAGATGTAAACTGACGCTGCGGATCAGTTTATCAAGCATACCCGCTGATACCTATCGCTCCACCTGCCTACCTAGCGAAATAAAAAAAGGCCGTTCTCTCTGCAGTAAAAACTCTAACTTTCGTTCTTTATCAATGAAAATATTCTTGATAAATGCCTTCGCGATCGCCTGCCCCACTTCGGCTTACGTACAAACACTTTAGTTGTCTGGCTTCATATGCATATACAGCCGTTGCGGATCACATGGCTATTTAGCAGACTAGAGTCTCGTGCGTTATGGGAATTAACCAGATAATTAAAAAAGCTAACAAACGACTTACCGTTGGCAGCGGGGTAGTGGCGCAGTTGCTTTTGGCCGTCAAACGCGCCAGCAGCGTCTCGTGCTTCCCTCCACCTCCTCCTCCACCGACGACCACGTCGTCCCGCGGATGGCTGGCGTCAAAGTCAAAGGGGTCCTCCTTCTTGACGTCCTCCTTGGCCAGCTCCACCGGCTGCATCAGGGGACTCGCAGCCGTCTTCACACCGCCCCCTGCATCACACTCGGGCTTCTTCTTCTTCTTGGCGGACACTTTGCACGCTTTCTTCTCCTAATCAAAACAAACCATATGTCTGCTGCTCAAACACAGAGACTGCTTAGCGCATCAAACGGCTGCTATTCTGCTGCGAAATGCAGTGCAATGGTGCGCGAGAAAAGCGTGGAGTTTTGACAAGCAGTGTGTGCCTAAACGTTCCACTCTCACTCTATGCGTTTCGTGTACTGTATCGACGGACATGAATAAGATGTCCCCCCAGGCCACGAGAAGGCACGTCAAGCCAGTGTATATACAACGACAGAAGCCCCGGCCTGCCTCGTTTCATTCAGCTGTGGCTCAGTGGATTGGATCAATCAGACAAGCCAAGAGAAACAGTCGTAACAACAGCCCATAAAACCTCTCTCCTCTCTCCCCAACAGCCTCTTGTCCACCGGCTGACACCTCACACAGCGCCAACGCCGATACGCGATAGCCAGATTAATCAACCGGCCTGTTTCTAACTTCTCTCTCTTCGCTGTATCGCAACCTGACGATCAGCGGCCACTCCATGCGCAGCCATTAGGTAATGCGGCTGCGCGGAACGCAACGCGCGGCTGACCTTTGCAGGGCTGAATGGATGCGCGCCGCGCCCCCGCTGGACAAACGGCCCATGTAACACGCTTTTTATGCCCGGCCGCCTGCTGGGCCGGGCTACCCGCAATCGCTCTGACAATAACCCAAAACCTCATCATTAAGCCATATGACCACTCAACCGTCGGTTCTGACTCGCTGCGGCTGAAATATCCACAGAGAGAACGAAATGACCTGTTTATGCCTGAATATTAGGCAGTAAAAACGATATTTCCAACTCACCGTCAGTTCCATTATTTTCATAACCGCGCTGGACATTTTAAATCACTTAATGCGGCAAATAAAGCAACCTTCGAACGTCTTAACTTTCGTTCTTGATTAATGAAAACATTCATGGCAAATGCCAGAGAAAATCCGGAAAATTCGCCGTTAAAGAGTAGAAAAATTCAGAATTAAATGGGCCATAATATACGCTGGAAATTTCGTCATAAAAATGATTTAAAAATCAGATTACAACCAACCACCGCAGCTGTTCCGTTGGCTGTTTAGCAGGCTAGAGTCTCGTGCGTAATCGGAATTAACCAGATAATAATCGCAGATTGATTATAATACAAAAATGTCAATACTCCAATGGATGACTAACTAAACCGAGATCGGCAGCGAGTGGGCATTTAGTTGTGCTGTTGGTATTGTAGCTGCGCAGGGCAAAGTGGCCTCTGTGCCGAGACCGGGCCGTATAATAAACAGTAAATGGAGTGTTATAAGTTGTAAACGAGGCAGTGTTCCCTGGGCCGGGCGGATAGTGTTACACGCATGTATCCTCCTCTCGATCGCTGAGAGAAAGGGAGCAGATCGATGCTGTCTGGCAGTGTGTGTGTGTGTGTGTCAGAGCTATCTCGCTTGGCGTAAACAGAGTGCGGGACGGACAAATGTTTGAGGTGGCAATTATGGAGCATCAATCAGGCATTCCTGGTCCCGGCTCCATTGCAGCTGTACACTGTATACAGTGCTCTGAAGAGCAGAAGGGGGATCTGCGATGAAAGGCCGGCCAGCGGAATGCCAGTAGCGTTGATGAGTGGAGATTTGTTTCATGCTTCATTGATCAGCGCTTCCTATTGCTCCCTCCGACCCAGTGGATCGGCGGCGACAGGGAGCTGTACTCCATCATTAGCCCGCGGCTATCTGGCCGCAATCGCGCATTACACAAACATATATACGCCCCAGACTGATTCCCGCCCCGTTCACCGCCCGCCAAACACGCTGCTAAACGCTCCTACCAATCAAGTTGTTTTGCCCGACAGATGGCGCATACGGCGTATTTCATGTCGCAAGGTTCCGAAAAAAATATCGGAAAAATCGGCGAAAAATTCGGGAAAGCTTAGCCGAAAAATCATGAGGATTTCAAGAAAAATCAGAACAGATTCGAGGAAAATTATCGAATAATAGGGGAAAAATACGAAAAAACCGATAAAGGTTATCACGAAAAATGAAAATAAAATCGGGAAAAGTTGAGAAACAGTCACTGAAAAACCGGAAAACTTAAGAAAAATTGAACGCACCGAAAAAATCGGGAAAAATATCAAAAATCAAGAAACCTATACAGAAAAATATACTCGAGAACTAAAACTATACTCGAAAAATTAATTTTGAAAAATCTGAGAAATTAGTTATAAATCGGGACCACCTCAAACGCCCAGAAAAATCAGGAAAATTTGTAAAAAATTGCAAACTTAGAAAACATCAGAAAATAAATAAAATTAGGACGAACATACGAAGAAAAATTCGGGGAAAAATCGGAAAAAAATGGGAAAACTTACGGTTGTCGAGGGAGCACCGCTCTTCCGCTCCGCCACCCCGTTCTCCTTCTTCCTGCACTTTTCGGGCTTCTTCTCCGGCGCTCCCACGGTCAGCACGCTCTCCGTCTCCGCATCCGCGTCCGACGCCTCGGATCCGAACTGGCTGAGACTGGGCGGTTTTTTCTTGGCCTTCCGCCGGTTCGCATTGACCACGGCGATGCGGTCCTCACCCATCTCGTCGTCTTCCTCTTCTTCCTCGTCCTCCTCCTCCTCCGGACTGGACGAACTGTCGTCCACCTCGTCCTCGCTCTCCAACTCGCGGTAGTTGATGCTGCGCGCCTTCTTGGCCGCTTCGCGCAGTCGCCGTTCGCCGGGTTTCCGGCGCGGTCGCAGTTCCCGCGTCGGCGTCGCCGTCAGAGCCGGTTTCTTGGCGGCGGGACGCGGCGCCGCGGGTTCAGCGTCCTGGGGAGTTACTTTGGGAGGTTCGTCTTTCTTCTTCTTCTTGGCTTCGTCTTCTTTGCGGCGCAGGCGCTCGTACGTCTGTCAGAGCAATAACGGGCATTTTCTTATCTTTTCTTAGGTCTTCTTATGTTTTCTTATGCTTTCTTAGGTTTCTTCTTATTTTATTTCATCGTAAAAAAATTCCAGATTCGAAGTGAACCGGTTCTCTTATTTTTTCGTATTTTATTTTGTTACCAAAAATTGGGAGGAAATGGTCGTAAGATCTGGGATCAAAAAAGAGAAGCGCGTTTTGCTACTTTTCTCAAGCAGCGTTTTATCTAAGCTATTGTTAAAAAAATGCTACGGCTGTTTTAAGTGCACCTTTTTTTTAACCAGAAAGAAGACAGATTTTTGGTTGTTTTTTAATGCTTAAATTTTAACTATCAAGCAGTCTTTTAGCGCCCAAAATTATTGCTATCTGGGTGGACATTGCCTTTATTAAATAATTATTTTTAAATCACAAATCAACGGACGTTTTTTCAAATCAACGGAACTTTTTTAAATCTCGAATCAGAGACCAATTTCATGATTCGCGTTTCCGTCAAATTTCCCCGGCAATTACTTACTACAGGATTTATCAAGGAAGAACAAAAGCAGCAACGAGCGTCGATATAGGGAATCGATACAAGTGCGGAGATAAAGGACGTGCGGCTAACGGTTACGAGCGGGAGATGCAATCGATAACATTGTCTAAGCGAATTAGCCCTAACACATCCTCACGCACTCCAACCCGCCGCAGCAACATGGCCGCGCATGCATTATTCACCCCGCTAATAAATATTCCCCAAATATCCTAATAAATATTCCCCAAATATCCCCCATCAAATCCTCCATACGCCCGGCGCCCTGTTCAACACGGCCAACTTCATCAACGCGACATTTCAACTTCCGCCGTTGGCGGACAAATGTCTGAACCGAAGCAGCGCGTTCGATAAGCGGCGAATAGAAGCATCAAATAACCGAAAACATTTTAATTAGTGCCCAATAATGCAGGCGTTTTGGGATACGCTCGTGCACACAGTAATCAAAAATTATAACAAAATTATTCTATTAAAATTGGCAGCATGATCATAATAAATCAAATTCGGTCAAAATTATAGCCGTTTTTTTAAAAATGATCTGAAATGAATCTGATTTAAACTGAAATTCGAAAATAATTGTCATACTGAAATCGGAAAATTTATTTTCCGCTTATTTTTTCTGTAACCAATAAAGAAATTACATGAAATATGAATAGTTACCGTTACGTTCTATTTTTTTTATTAAATCGGCATTTAATTTGAAAAACTTCTCCGTCTAAATGTAATCGAATAACAATTTTAAAAATAACATTTTTCGTATCAAATAATCGAAGCTCGAATGGATTTTTTAAATGAACTGATTTGAAGCTTGAAATGTGAAACGTCTGAAATTGTAACCTCAACTTGAGGTGCTTAACCAACAGAAATTCCACCGTGCAAAACGCCTGGGAATACAGCTGACTCTTTCTGGACGCTTTGGCAGGACGCTTACGCACAAAGGTGTACAAACGCCGGTACAGGCTGCAGTTGAGAAGTCAACAAGGCCCTGGATAGACAGCGGATGCCGAAAGGGAAGCATCCGCATCGATATTCCCAACAGAATCGATACGCTCGCCTTTCCCTGCTCTGTATCGAGCAGCGCACCAGAGGACACGTCAGGACAGCCGGTGACCGGCGGTCACCTGAGGACACGGGTTCTCACGCGCATATATAAGCCAGCGGCGGTGTCCTCAGGTGAACCGTGGTAGCGTGCGTAACGCTGCCTTCCCATCCACCAAATTTGCTTACAACTGACTACACATCAACCCACTTTCGCATGCATCAAAAAGAACATATCACGCATTAAAAAGCGGCAATTTTTTCGCTGCTGGATTATTCAAAAGTTGGGTAACTTTTATCTCATAAAATCAAACCAAAAAAGGAACAAAAAATTTCCAAACCATCCAAAATATTACCAATTAATTTCAGCAAATTTGGTTAAGTACTGTAAATCAACAAAAAAAAATAATATTCTTCAACGCAAAATCATCGCATTTTATTCATCTTCAATCTTCATCATCGTAGTGGCCATAATATATTTTTCCAGAACGCTAGAAATTATTCCATATGTTTACTAAACACTGTAATAAAACGGTGAATCGAATTCCAATAAAACCATTTTTTCCTTTTCCAATAAAAATCAATTTAATACAAGTATAATTATACCACAATTTTTTTAAATTTTAAATGACTTTCTTTAATCGAATTTACAATCGAATCGATTTTTATTCGAATTTTTTCCGAATCGAAATTAACTTGTACATTTTTTAATCGATTGCAGATAGTTTATTTTTCACCCCAAAACGCCATTAAAAATAAACAATTTCACGGGCAATAGATACATAAACTGCGAGTAGCGTTCACAGCGGAATGTCATAATTATGCGAAGAATCCTCTGCGCATGCCCACCCGCTTTGCTTCCCGATCCGGCATATCAGTATCACCAAATATGTGCGCTGTATCCGCTGCATATGTAACAGCGGTTAAGTTGTCCGATTACAGATCAGCGCCGATCGCTTATACGCCTCTAATTCGATCGTATGGGCCCAGCTTAATATCGCAGCGCGCAGTTTACGATGCGCAGATCAACAATTCCCCACTAAAGTGCCTTTATTAGCTGCCATAAAGATTCGGCCACAGCCAACACAAACACCGCACAGGCGGCGTATTACACACAAGTAACTGAATAAGCAGTCAGCTGTGCTGCTGTGAATCAAAACCGGCGCTATTCATTTCCATTCTTACAAATCAATTTTTGGCACAATATACTTATGCGCGCTACCGACCGAAAAGTATCATAATTTAAAGTTAAAATTCCAGCCGTTTTTGAAGAAGCAAAACTGGAATAAAATTTATTTAATATTTCTATTTCAATTTCGTCGAAAAATGTTCATTGTATGAATTTTCAAAATTATTTAAAATTTCTAAAATTCAAATAAATAACATAAAATACGTAAAGAAATTAGATAAAATATTAGCAGCTGATGGTAAAGCATAATTTTCAGCAGTCACCGCATATTTTTTGAAAAACGGTAATTAACTGGATAAATTTCTCGAAGTAAAATTATTCCAACAATAATAAAAAAAATTCAATTTTTCGTTTTAAGCCGTTTCAAATTCCAGAAGTACAGGTTCGATAATTTTTAAATAATTTAATTTGAAGGAGGACGCGTGAAACGATAAAAACAGCGCGTAATTCATCAAAAATTGACAGAAAAAAAAACATACCGCGAAAATGGCAGGGAAGAGTCCAGAAAAGCCAGCTGATAACGCGTCAGAAAAATGGAAGAAAATAATTACAAACTAAATTAAAAACGCTCGAATTTCAGTATCGAATACGAAGAAAATTCTGGGAAAATTTTCTAGGACAGATATCACAAGGAAAAAGCCAGGAACGGCAGTACTAACTGGAAAAACAGGAGGGAGAGAGAAAAAGGAAAGCGGAGCATCCGCCACACACGCAGCGCTTTCGTCGTGTCCCGTTTTTCCACACAAAGACGCGAGAGGGAGATAGATAGCGTGAAGCGGGTGTTGTCGGGGCAAAAACGCATTGACACCGGATAAACAAGTGTTGAAAAGGCGAAGGAAACGCCGCGGTCATGTTGGCTACAGCTACGGACTGTGCACTCGTTAGCTGGATCATCGATTGATTTCAATCGCTTACTCGATTAACATTCAGCAGCCCGTGCTGTGGAAAACGATGCCGACAAGCAGCGCACACCGGGCAGAGCGAAACGCACAAGCCCGGCTAAAATAACGATACAACCCGGCCAGTCCCGACCGATTCCCCGGCCCGCCCACCCCACTGCTTCCTGCTCCGGTTTTCGGATATACAGAGTAATCGCTCTCGTTCGCGTTTGTAACCTGATATTATAGTCAAAGCGCCTTCCTGTTGTTTTATAGTAAAATCCACAACCGAAACAATTTTTTTTTCACAAAACGGTGATTTGGCTACATTTCGGCCGATACAAATTCCCAATAACCTAAATATCAACGATATTCAGTGGAGTATCATTCTTTCAAAAATATTTATATATCGCGGTGCAAATTTAAAAAAATACTTAATAACACTCGAAAACTGCTTATTTCCACCGGCTTAAATTTTAAAGCCACGAATCTTCGCTACTTTGATCGATTGAAAAAATTCGAAAAAGTTGTTTAAAAAGACTAAAGATTTGCATTTTGCAGAAAAAAATTCTTATTCATTGCGGCTTTATTTTGAAACAATTTCCGCCAGTGCAAAACTGAAACTTTTTGGCAGCTTATCAATATTTTAAAGGCATAAATATTACTGACTGTGAAATTTTTATATCCAAGAACACCTTTCGGCAATTTGTTCGAGACGAAAAAATCAAAATAAAACCGTTTTGAAATAAACCAAAAGAAAACAAATATATTTGTTTTACTCATTACGGCATAGTATGTAGTTGACAGCTGCACGTTTTATCACCCGTACAAAATTACAGAAGTTCGTCCGCCTACTGTCTTCGGAAGAAAAGACAAATTAATATATTCAAAATATTTTTCGAATACTTTAAACTGAAGTACAGAAAACTGAGAAAGCATCAATAAAAATTTACCCCATAATAAACAATAAAAACATCCTACGGCACGAAAAAAACATTTCAGGTCTATAAAAATTCAGTTAAAAATACAAAAAATGCCAGTATTACTTTTAAAAAAATCTAAAATTTAAAAAAAAAACATCAAAATTAAAAAAGCTTCAAAAAGTACAAAAAAAAGCAAAAATACATAAACTAATATAAATAAAAATATTCTACAACAAAGAAACGCTATAAGACAACAACGCCACTCACATCGAGATCCTCCTTGGTGACGAAACTGACGATGGCGAATCCGTTGTGCAGCGGGTCGATGAGCAGCTCCTCGGCCTGGTGGTTCATCCGCGGGCGACTGAATTTGCGCCGCGTAAAGTCCCGCGGCGCCGCCGGCTCGGCGGAGGCCGCCGCCGCCGCACCGGCATCCAGTTTATTAGCGCTGCTCCCATCCTGCCCGGCCCCGGCCCCGACCGGACCGCTCCTTCCGGTTGGAATTTGATTCGCCACTTTGTCGGAAATCGCGCCACCACTTCCCGTTTTCCCGGCCGTCGCTGCTGTCAACGTTGATGCGGCAGCAGCGGTGGTTGTGTTGCTGGCGGGGGATTTGCGCGAGGAGATAACCACCGTTTTCTTCCGGCTCACCTTCCCGCCCGGCTTCTCCATTTTCATACCTTCCAGGCACACCGTCAATTATTTCACCAACCTGAGAGAAAATAACCCCGTCAAAAATTTTACCGGTATTTCTCACTGAACAAGTTTTCTCCAGTTAATTTACAATTTTTCTTATTTACTCCTCGTTAAAAGAAAATATTTTGCCAATTCCTGTTTTTTCCCCCAAATTTATCCTCATTGAAAACATTTTCCCAATTAATAACAAAATTCTATCCAGATTAATACCAGCCTTTCCCAATTAATTCTCATTATAAAATTATTCCCCAATTAGACAGAAATTCTTTCCAAATTAATCCGCGTTAAAGGAGAATATTTTGCCGATCAATAAAATTCTTCCCAGAGTATTAAGAAATTCTCTACCAATTAACCCTCAATAAAACAATTATCCAACTCAATAAAAATTAAAAATTAAACAATTCTTAGTAAATTATTCCTCGTCATTTTTGTCTTATTGTTTTCACATCCAAACGGTTTTGTGTAGTTCAAAATAAATTCTAACAAAATTCTTCTTGCACTCCTGAGTGACTCCTCCGCACCGAAAATTATGCCCAATTATTACCCAGCTGTAAAAAAGATTATTTCTACTGCTAACGATTTTCAAGAAATATTTTTAATTCATTTTTCATTCGTTTTAATGTATGGCTTCTTACTAATACGTGTCATTGTTTTTTCTCTGATACGTAATTTTCAGCGACAGTCTTCAGAATAATTAGACCGCTGTTTTTAACTGTTCCCAGATAATCGTAGGATTTTAACTATAACCATGGACAACACAAACATTTAAAGTGTATTTTGGTCTGTAAATTGCACACGGGCAATTAATATTAATTACTAGCAATGAGCCATCCATTTACTGCCAATAGCCGCCATTAATCCCATTTATCGCAACATTCAGCCGTCTTTATGGCTCTGGACAATTCATGCAAAAATGCCCCGAAATCATTGTATAATCCGGCTGCGGCGGATGATGTCAGCCAAAGTTAAACAATATTTCCCTGTCGATCATATTTTGCTTTGCAGTTTGCACCGGCCAACATGTGTACAAAGGGATTTGCTATCTATACACACATAACATAAACACGGAGGGCGTGACCGGCAACCGACACGGATTCCACCGACATGTGCGCTTAATTGTACGCTACAGACTCCTGTACTTTGCATCACAGCGACAAAGTTCAGCGGGGGTGCCGGCCCAGCGCCGGAATCCCTCTACACATGTAAATCACTCGCGCTGGCTTTCTTTCACTGGATAAACACGCTGGCTACTGCTCTATTCTCTCCGCTACAAATTCCGATTACGTCGACGTTGAAAAAGAGTACAGACTGCAGACAGAGTAGAGAGTCGAGACGCACAATCTGACCACATTCCATTCAAGGATTTTAAAAGCCTTTTTTTAAAAGATTTGAAAGGAAATAAAATCTGAAATGAAATTTTTAAATCGTATTTTCGAATTTCTTGTGTGAATTTCGAATTTCTTGTGACCGAATCCTAAAATTCTCGAAGCCAGTTCTGTACCTTCTTTCGAATTTGTACTCAGATCTGTTAATCTGTCCTAAATGTTTTTGTTAGCAGAAAAGTTTTTTTGTTCGACCAGACTTGAAGTCTCTTCGGGGTTGTCTGCTCTTATGCCGTAATAATAATAATAATAATAATAATAATAATAATAATAATAATAATAATAATAATAATAATAATAATAATAATAATAACATCTGGAATTAAATTTTTAAAGCGCAAAGTACTTTTCGAATTTCTTGTGTGATAAATAAATATAAATTTAAAGTAAATATAAATTTTTACTGATATATAATTTTTACTGATATATAAATATAAATTTTTACTGATATATAATTTTTACTGTATGTTTATTTTTAGCACTGCACTGCATTAAAACGACATTTATTTCGATTAATTTCTCCATCTAAATTTACGAGAATTAAAGTTCTCCTAAAATTCATCTCGTATTGGCGTGTTGTAATACCGGTTAAAAAAATTTAACTTCTGCGTTTCAAACCGTTCGAAATTGGAACGTAACAGATTTCTGTCTCGAATTCACTCTACACATTTTTTCTCTTTTATTAACAAATAAATTAAATGAAGTATGAAACGTTTGTATTTTATTAAATCAGCATTTAATTTCATGAAGCTGGAATTTCATTTACTTGGTTAAATAACAGTTCTCAAAAATTAAGGTTTTTTTTATTTTAAAAAGTGTCGCATATTTTCGTTTGATTTTGAAATGATTTGATTTGAAGATTGAAATGTGAAACGTTTGAAATGATGACTGCAACCCTGCCATTCAGGCAGTCGACAGAGAGACCGATATCGGATATCCCAAGACAGACCAGACAGACAGACACACAACAGCCGCGTGCAAGAAGACAGAGAGACTCAGACTACTGTTAACTGAAGTAGCCAGAGAGAGGCAGTGGGCCGCTTGAAAGAAGACAGAGAGACTACTGTTTATAGCCAGAGAGAGAGGCAGTGGATCAACTGCGCGGAGAGAGAGATTAGCGCTGACACGCAAATGGAATCCACACGGCCGTTTTGCGCGAACGAGAGTTTAGGGCTGTTTAGCCGAGTGTGGGACATGGACAACCCGCTGGGACGGATGTCGGATATCCCTTACGGCGGTGAAATGTGCTCCCCGATATTTAACAATTTCCCCGGCCGCTGCGGCCATCATTCTCGGGCAATAATGTTATACGGCACAGCACAGGCGTGCCACAGCATCATCATCCGCGTACAGCACATTCTCACAAGTGGCGCAGTGTTTTAAAGTGCAGAGAAGGGAGATAGATAGATGGGCGCTTTATGGCCCGGTCGGGGCTGCGTGACACAGCCACGCAGAATTTGTCGCAATATTAATGCGGCTGTGTGTAGTGTGATCGGTCTGTTAGAGGCAGAGATTAGCGCAAACGGATTGCTATGAAACACGCGCGCCATTACTGTAAGCAAATTAATTATCGTTAGCGCGCAGTTTGATGGAGACGAAACGCATCCGCAGCTCGTTCCACTCTCGAACAAAATCGCTAAGAGAAAAATCGTTCAAAAAAATATCGGAGCACACAAATCCGAAATCAATTAAATTTAAAAAAAAATTGGAACCTCGTAAATAACCTGATCCTAAATTTGTCTTTATAAACATTTTCAGTTTTTATATCCTAGGTGCATATCTTGTATAATTTAAAACAAAATAAGATTTTCAAATAATAATAAAATTTTCATAATAAAATAATATTTTCAAACAATAATAAAATTTTTCAAATTAAATTCTGATACCGTGTAAAATACTTTTAGATACTTCAAAATAAATACAAATAGAATATTTTAAATTTATCACAGGATAAATACCTTCAGATAATTTAAAATAATTACCAATAATTAATAAAAAACTAATGAAATATTTTAAATAAATACCGTACATTATATCACCGTATAATTGCAAAATCAAATGCAATTTAGAAAAACAAAGAATGAAAGAAGTTCAAAGAACTGATAATTTCCAGAAGGCAGAAATATCACGCTGAAAATATTTCTGAATTTTTTTGTTCGAGGAATTTGAAAGCGCCTGTTATCTACGTTTTGTGCAACATAAGCAAGGTGTGCTGTGAAAGCACAACATCTGCGCGTCGGCTGATTGGTACTGGAAACCTGCCAAGTCTGCGTCTGGCCTGTCCCTGTCTGACTCGGCTCTGCTGTGGCAGCGCAGTGCACTCGTGCATTGTCATCAATGAACTGCGACGCATCAATGAGCACAATCGACCGGGAAGAAAGGCTAATTAACGCCTAAAAGCCAACACTAGCAATCCAAACCAGCCATTCTAATTTTCCATCAAATCTCCATGCCTGCATTCCTTCTTCGGCGAACACACAGCTTGTGGATAAATTCCAGAAAAAAATTGTTTATTCTTAAATTACGAAGTTTAACGAATTTGCTGACAAAATTTTATAGAAAACAAATTCAAAGAAATTTTATATCGGAACGAGTGTGATCATTCAATCTAATATCAATCAAATCGAAGCGTTAAAATTGGAAAAGCTTATTAAAATTTTTTCCGTCTGCGCGAGACGTTAGAAAGCGATTATTGAATTACCGGCGACAAACCAAAGAAAACCACAGACCACAGAATTTTTCACCGGATGAATTAACTAAAACCATCATCGACGCATTCAGGCGCTTGACGTCAGAATTAACGCATTAATTGATTTATTTGTGCGCTTGCACAGCCTTACGTAACATAATCAACTGGAGCGAAAGATGCGATTTGTGGGACTGAAAATCTCCTGAATTTTTTTGCATCAAATACAAACAAAAAATTCGACGAGTTCAAAATACTTCGAAAATTTACGTAGTTTATCCATCCATTCAATTTTGATAATTAATTAAACAGCCACTTTATTTATCATGGAAAAAATCAGGGAAGGGAAAAATTTCACAAGGAAAAAATTAAAATAATGAGAAAATTCTCGTCCAATTTTCGTAATTAAACCAGAACATTACTTACCATTTCGGAAATTAAACAAAAAAAAAAGCTGAAAAGGAAAAACATTTTTGACAAAGAAAAACTAGGGAAAAATGGAAAAATTAAAGAAAAATAAACCAGAAAAAAAGGAGAAGTGTTTTTACAAGGAAAAATTCAAGAAAAATGTCCCAGCGATTTTGAATAAGAATCCCCAAGGAAAATCCAAGCAGTTAGGTATTTATTAATGCCGCAATATTTTTCCTTGTTAATTTTATTCATACAGCCATCCCTACGAGCGGGGGAAAGCAGCAGGTAAACAATCGTCCGAAGGAATCGCATTTCCACTTGAGATGCGACTGCTTGCAGACAACATTGCACAGCACAATGGCATCGTTATACGTTGCGCCAGCGCCCCTCCCGTCCTACTTAACCCGCGCTCCCAATTACCGATACACGGCGCCACCACGCCACAAATACGAGATATATCCAAATCAGCATTACCGCACACACACACACCAGCGGATTAGGTGCGAGACACTCTCCCCGTTCTCTCCCCAAAACACCCGCTAAATGCTCCCACTGCTCGGCGATCGATAATTACGAGTGGGAAAGCGGGTCTACTCGGTGTTTTTTCTATCCCTGTCTTTCTTCGGCGAATTCCGCCTACGCAGCAGCTTATTTCTTCCGCAAGAGATGCGGTCGGGAATTATGTCATTTCCACCGTGGTTATAACCCAAGGCGGCATTTCATAACCGCTGATTCATGGGATATTAATTGCTAGATGCGAAGAATCGTCTGATTGATTATTTCGTCAAAAAGGACAAGTTTCCTCTTAGCCAAAACGGACACGGATTCTCTAATCAAACACAAATCATCAGTGAATTTCAATAAATCCTTTAAAATTTTTTTTTTATTTTAGAAAAAGCCGCACACTTTTTTCTTGAAAATTAAAAAATGAGATTGGAAAAAATCCTCCGAAACTTTAATAAATTTTGTGTAAAAGGAGGGAAAAAATTAATCAAAAGTTAGAAAAAATTAATGATAAAAATGTAGGAAAAACAGGTTACTTTTCAAGTGCGACACTCGATCTCTCGGACCACTTCAATGTTTATTTTACTCACAGTCGACAAAACGGTGAATGCTTTCACTGGTGCTTGGAAAAAACCAAATTACACAGCTGCATTTTTTGTTGAACACTTCATTAAAACAAAACAATTCAAAAAAAAACATTCCTTTATTTTTAACATTTTTTCTGATAGCTACGGAGAAATTAACTAACACCGCTGCAGTTTCTAGTCAATACAAATTTTCGAAACCTTTTTTTTCAAAATTATTTATTTAGTAATTTTCATCATTTAAATTTCTAGGTATATTCATTAGCTAGCAACACTTTTTCTAATTATTTTATAATTTTTATCCTCAACATGTTTTAACATACTCATTTATTTTTAACATTTTTCATTTTTAACATTTTTTGTAGACAATTATTTGCTTAAACAAGTTTTACGTTTAACGTGCTTTGTATGAAAGAATATATTTTTTTTAAACAATTTTAGAATTCTTTGGAATTTTTATCCGAATCTTTACAATTCGAAACCTGAACGAACACGAAAAAAAGAAAAAAATTCCGATATTCTGCAGAACTCGATTTGCTTCAGAATCTACTAAATTTTCCAAAATCAAAAGATGAAACAGAAACCTAAGAAAACTACAAGCAAGAATCCTAGAATTTCAAGCTACCTGGGCAGACTAAAACCCCCGCGACAGCGAAGCACAACAAACGGCAAAACGAAAACTGTGACTTACCGAGACACGCGAGATCCATCACAGGCATCAGAGACACGAAACTTTCGTCCTTCAGATTCCTCACCAAACTCACAAACAAAGCAGAGGAGATCCACGTGGTCCCCACAAATCGCTGCCTGCAGTCGCCCCCCAACGCAGATCGACATCCACAATCACCAAAACGCTGAGGACGAAGAGCTGAACGCGCTGGAATGCCACTTGCACCAGCAGCGTTCCAAAATCAACAAATGCACGGTCGCATGTTGGAACGTGTTTGCATGCGCTGATAAGATAGCGATCCCCACCCACGCGCACCGCGCCGTTTACTCACCACAACATAGACTGGGGTAAAAATTAATCAAGGGATCAGGAAAACGCAGGCCATTCTGCAAGACCGAAAAAAGTTGACATTCGTGATTCAGCTGTGTGCTGTGCTGTGCTGTAGAGTAGCGAATCCGACCACGGATTTTATCAAGTTTTATCAATATCGCGACGCTCAGAGCGCAGTGAGCGCACTGGGTCAGTGAACCGCTTGAGTGAATCGCCGTGAACGGGCGGGACGGGTGGTGGAAGGGGCGGAGCGTGGCGGCTGGCAGTCACAACGCTGTGGGTTTCCATTGGTGCGGTCGCAGCGTAGCGGACCTAGCGGTGTTCCGTGGCTTCCATTGCCAGTGGAATTGGAATCGAAGTACGGTTTCTTTGTCTGCTGAGTTGTGTTCTGTGGAATCGCTGTTTTTTTCCGGATTTGGAGCGCTTGAACGGGTACAATCTGGACGCTGTGTTAGGGAACAGTGAGGTTTGGAGTTTTGCAAGTTTTGGTATTTTTTTCCCAGGCCGAATGCGGAAATTTGGAAAGATTATGTCGCGTTTGTACGTAGCTAAATCAAAATGTACCCGGTAACACACCACAACGTTTTTTTTTTCACTGTACGTCTTTTTATTCGCGTCAGTACACCACAACGTTTGTGTACATAGTACAAGTACTTGTACATGTAGCATAAATTACATGCATGAAAACTGTCGCTTAATTTTAAATTCGCGCATTCCCAAACACTTTCTGGCTGAGTTTCTTGAATTGCTTTCAGACGTTGTGTAGCCAAATGATTTGTATACGTTGGCGCGAAAACTATTTAGATGTGCAACAAAAAGGTTTAGGAAGTTATGGATGAAGGACACTCACAAATATAAGAGTACGAGGATGCACGCAGTCAAACCGACAGTAAATTTTTTCAGCGAGACCAACCGACAACCGTGCATATAGTGCAAGCGACTGCCAACCATCCACGGATGGCTGTCACCTGTTCCACGCATACAGTGCAAACGATACCTCCCTTTCACGGGTGGGTGTTATGTGAAAAAATAATTGGCCTGTGTGCGTGGTTGTCGGTTGGTCTCGCTGAAAAAATTCACTGTCGGTTTGACTGCGTGCATCCTCGTACTCTTATTTTTTAATTTTAGACTGAAAGAGCCTCGAAAGTCTCATTATGTACCGATCGTGTTCAGATTTTCCACCTCAAATCACTCTTGAATATACCGATCGTTATTGCACCGCAGCGCTGTTTTAGCATTTGTTTTCTAGCCAACTAGAAAATGAAATGAAATTCACAACTGTAAAGTTCATTTTAAAATTCTGGGAAAAAACGATTTTATGGTTTATACTCGTATGTTATGGGTTTTGATATGGGCATCCGCTCGTGACGTTATATTTGCATTTTGGACGACTGCCGCGGCGGCGCGGCAAATTATAATGTCGGATAAACAGCTCATATCAAATAAGCCTGCGAATATTCTAGTACGAACTACATACGAAGTATTCAATCGTCAATACACAGCTACGAGCTGGCACGATTTCCTGTGCCCGGTAGTTGGGCTACGATTAATTACTCGTGCTTAATTAAAGTTACTAATTAAGTCAGTACTTGCACAGTTATACTGTGTTAAGTTTGTTTTGTTTCAGGCAACAGCCAATTAACATAACACCAAGCCTGCGCCGATAGACACTAATTAAAACTTTCAAATTTACAATTGGACTTGTATGAGTACGGTGAGGCGCACCTGTAGCTGTAATTACCGCGGCTAGGTAATCTCGAGTAATGTCGGTGTAGCGATGTATGTATGCGGCGGGATGTTTATGGAAATGTAAATCCTGCTTGTCAAAACAGGGCTGCATAGATGCCGTGCAAATATTATTGCAGGGATCCCTCGCGTCACACTCGCTGCACCGGCCACTACAAGGGAGCATCCATAAATTACGTACGCAGAAAACCACGGTTTTTTCACCCCTCCCTCCCCCTTCGTAGCGGTCCGTCACGTTTGCTTGACCCCTCCCCCCTGGTTCGCTCAATCGCAATACATGGAGATGACCACCCCCTCCCCCCGGGTTCGTCGGGGTCGTCACAGCTTGTCACGTTTTTTGGACCCGTCCCTCCCTGGTTCGCTGCGTACGTAATTTATGGATCCCCCCCAACGCCTGCCTTCGGAAGCGGGAGCGTACATCATTTACAAGTACCGGCAGTATACCGGCTCACCGATTACACTACATTTCCAATTACACGCTTGCATCCCGTTGCATGATCTGTACCATCCGGACCATTGCTACAGCATCCGCAATAAAATTATTATGACAGTGTATTATCTCCACGATGATTGATAATTACCAACATTTTACCTGTTTATAGTTATTTACTTGCTGTGTTCGTCGCTAACCTAGAGTAGATATATGGAACTACAAGGAAAGTGAACCATTGCTTACTTTCTTGTCCTCTGCGTGACTGTCTTGTCATCCTTCATCCGTTTTGGTACTTAGTTCGTATTTGTACATATTGCGAGACTTATCAAAGTCCAAATTATACCATTGCTGACAGTGCCACTGCTTTGCGGATTAAGTTATCTGGATGGTACAATCACGGTGGGGATTTATCCTGCGCTATGCCGGTGCCGATATCGATTGGGAACGTTGCCCCAGTGCGACGTTTTCTGGCGGGCTTCTTCTTGTCTATATATCTTGTTTCTTGTGGGTTATACGTTTGTGATGGGAAGGTTTGGGGTACAACGCCGCTCACAAAGGTCCGTAATTCACAATGTACCCCTTCAAAGTCGAAGTGAATACTAGCTTTTACAATGTTAGCTGTACGAAGCCTGTCGCATGGAAAAACACAGCCGTACTTTAGCGATTGCTTTATTCGGCTAGAGTAGTTCTTTCGTAAAATTTCACTTTTCTGCTGTGCCTTATGCTGCTGCTATTTTTCCGACGTAAATTACTGAGTTTTATCTTATGAGAGTGTTTATTCTGGTTTTTCACTGGTACACTGGGTACATACTACCTAGCATACGTGCGAATGATAATTATACGATATTAAATTCAAGTTAGGTATTTCATTTTTCACTATTTTTAAATTTAATCCTTTTTTTTATTGAGTAAAAATAACATTATTGATGAAGTATTCATAACGTATTTTTTGAATTATGCAAATATTATTAAGGTATTCAGATATTGAGTACAGTAATTAGTACATACTGCCCACAGAATATTGTGGAGAAAGTGCTGAAAAATCGCCCTTCGGCCAAAACTTCCTTCTACGCATCCCTTTTCCCGGCGGAGCCTCTCCCGCCGGTGTCCCCTACGGAGTCGGTCACCTCCGACAAGGATGCCCCGCCCCGTAAGCCACCGCCCAGCACCACTCTCTCACCGCCGCTCACCGTCACCAACAGCAGCGGCAACTCGAGCGTTGCAACACAAACACACCGGCTGCCGGCGATTAACAATGCCAACCTGTTGGACGATTATTTTCCCAGCCAGCAAGACCAACATCCGCCTATGCCCGCAATAACATTCGACAACAGCGCCGCTTATCCACCATTACCGGCACTCAATCAAGCCGGAGTGAGGAAGAAAAAGCGTCGGCCATCCGCGCGGAAGCTCCAGCGCCCCCTCCCGGAGGATAGCCCGGTCTTCGTGCCCAGTGAACAGCGCATGGGTCTCTCGGCCGACCGCCCTGAGCGACCGCGGAGGCCCTCCAAACGCCGGTTGGTCACTAAGATGCCGTTAAACCCGTGGAACTGTCCGTGTATGACCACGCCCAGCGGAAACGCGGACATCGCTCCCGTCGCCATGTCTAGCAATGGGAACACCAACGGGAACGCAAACGGTAACATGAACGCGAATACGAAGGGGAATATAAACGGGAACATGAACGGGAACATGAACGGGAATACGAAGGGGAATATAAACGGGAACATGAACGGGAACATGAACGGGAACATGAACGGGAATACGATCAGGAGCACCAACATGAATACGAACGGGAATATAAACGGGAACACCAACTGGAACGCCGATGGGAACACTAACGGAAACGCCAACGGGAACACCAACGGGAACATAAACGGGAATATGGTCAGGAGCACGAACGTGAATACGAACGGGAATATAAACGGGAATACGAACACCAACGGGAATACCGTCGCCGACCACCAGCGTCCTTATGTTGCCGGGTACGCCTCCAGCGGGATGACCACCGCCCGCAGTGGCTGGTCCGAGGCCAACTGGATGACCGGAAGTGGTCAACAGGACACTTCCGGTGCACAGTTACGAACCTCGATTGACAACACGGTCGACGGGAACGCCGGAAATGCCCAGAATTCCGCAGTGGTCAACACCAACTGGATTCCCTTACCGGATTCCGGAGGCTTGGCGGACGCTAATAACCGGAATAAGATTTTAGAGAATTCCGCGGGGAACAACTGGAACCCTCTGCCGGATGGCGGTGGAGCGAGCAACTGGATCCCGCTACCGGATCCAGGAAACGGTGTCGTCGAGACCTCCAATAAAAGACTGGACACCAACGGAAACACCAATCAGGTGTCGAGTAACTGGAATCCGTTGCCGGACGCTAATTCGGGAGGGTTCAGTGTCACCCAGGACGCGCGTAGTCAGTTCAGCGACTTTGATTTCACGGTGGCGGCACGGCAAACCGGGGTCTTCCAGTTCACGACGCCGCCGTCCGGCTTCACCACCACCACGCCGCCGCAGTGGATGCCCTTCATCCCGAATTGGTCGACGACTCGTCCGCCTCCGGTTAACAAGGTCCTGGAGGTCCCGCCGCAACCTCCCAGTCGGGAGAACGAGAACGGGCATTTCTTTACCAACGAACTGGGGAACGTCGAGGAGGTGGTGGTGACCCCGGCCTGGACGCCGGAACCTCCTGCCCCGCCCAGTTTCGGGAACGCCGGCAATAAAACTGGATCCAGGACCTCCTGAAGGACTTCCAGAACGGGATGTTCGGCAGTGTGGCGCAGAACACCGACACCGGGAACGTGGATTTCGACAACTCCCGGAATAAAAACACCCTGAACGTGGATTTCGACAATACCCGGAATAAAAACACCGGGAACGTGGATTTCGCCAACTCCCGGAATAAAAACACCGGGAACGTGGATTTCGACAACTCCCGGAATAAAAACCTGGTGAACGGCGGGAACGGGAACTTCCTGGACAACACCAACGCCCTGACCCCGTTCGACACCTCCCTGATGACCTCGACCACCCCCGACAGCACCACGGCGCAGTGGTCCTATTCCTACCCCTCAATGAACGCCTTCCAACCGACTCCGGAGCCGGTGACCCCGCTGCCACTCCCGGCGGCCCAGATCGAGCCCACCGGCGACGTACCGATATGCCCGCCGGCGCCGCGCCCCTCTGAGCCACAACCGCCCATCCTGGTGGACATCTTCCAGCCCATCCGGCGCGTCTTAAACGTCGACTCCATGATCCCCATCTGCGCGCAGTCGGTGGTCAGCGTCCTGGTGGACGGGGCCACCCCGCCGGGATCCCTCCTGGGGACCGTCCTGGCGCAGGACCCAGGTGCCAACCAGCTGAAATGGACCATCGAGGGCGACCCCACCGGGTTGTTCGTCATCAACGGGACGTCGGGGGAGTTCGGGTTATCCCGGCGCGCCAACCTCCGCGGGATCGACCTCACGGACGTCCTGGTCAAGGCCACCAACCCGGCGAATAATCAGTCCTGCGTCACGCTGATCCACATTAAGGTCCGGCAGCCGGTGGGCGGGAAGAAGCTGGTGGACCTCCCGATTATGCTCCCGGTGGCAGATACGGCGGCCACCGGAAGTGGGCAGCGGGAGATCGCCTTCTCCCAGAATGTGTATACAGCGGAGCTGCCGTGTTCACTTCCGGCGAACGGGTTGGTGCTGCGGGTGGAGGCGAGGAGTGGGGTGCCGGGGGGTGTCGAGTACGCGATCCGGGGGACCAATGAGTTCGCTATTAACGGTACCGGGTTCGTGTCTGTCCGGCAGTTGGACGTGGCTAATAAGGAGCGGTCGAGAAACTTCCAGGTGGCTGCGCGCGACCGCTCTGGTATGTACGTTTAGAGAAAAAAATAAATTAAAAAAAGTAAAGCTACAATTAAATTAAATCATATTTAAAATAGGAAATTAAATAATAATTGATCATCATTTGAGTAAGCAATGTATTCCGCCACATCGTGTGTCATGTTTGGCCAGTAATATTTAAGGTAAAGGGCTTCGAAGCATCTGGTAATTCCTGGATGACCGAGGGCGTCATTCTATAGATTCTTTGATTCGAAAATACGTAATTGCAAAGGTCAAGTTAAAAATCTTAAATTATTGAAAATTTTTTATTTAAATAAATTATTGAGGATTTTCAAATCTGAAATTATTAAATTACCTTAAATTATTGAGAAACTTTTATTTAAATGAAAATTGTAAAAGAAAAAAACAAATCACTTTTATGCGCGCGAAAATTGTATGGCAGAAAAGCGCTTTCGAAATGAAAGGCAATAGCCGTCAAATTAGTAACAAGAAGTGCAAAAAAATGGAAATAAAATGGATAGATAATTCAGAACATTAAAAAAAATTAAAGATTAAAATAAAATAAAAAATTAAGATATGAAACTGATGTAGTAAGCTGGCCGGCGAAATTAACGGATTTTACAGGAAGCAGACGAGCAGTTTGGTGAAACTGCAGCTGGACATGAGCACCTGCTATGGTCCGCAATTCGAGATGCCGCTGTTCATCTACGACGTCACCACCGACTGCTCCGGTCTCCAACCGGGCGACCGCATTGCCGAGATCACGGTAAAACCACAAAACCGTCAACCGCGTCAATTTCATCCTACTTTTCAATCATTGTAAATTATTTTATTTAATTACATTTTACCCAGAATGTGATTACCTAATAAAATACAGCAATATATATTTTAAATTTGTAGATAAATCAAAATCTGAATTTTGCCTAATAAATTCAATTAATTACAAATATAATTTGAAAATGCAATTTAAAAATATATTAACTCAATTAATTAAAAAAAAATTTACTTCAATTTATTCCAGGGGTATTTAATTAAATTATTTTTATAGTAATGTATTAAATTTAATTTCATTTAATCTCTTAAATAAAATGTCTATAACGCCTTTTTGGCAGGCACTCCCCTCGAGCCCGGTGAGCCAGCTGCACTACAGTTTGCGCGGCGCCGTGACCTTTGTCGTGAACGCCGACACGGGCGCCATCACGTCCAACACCGGCATCGCCATCAGCCAGCGTCTCCCGGATTTTGGCGTAAGCCGGCTTTTTCCTTGCGCATAATTTTGCAGCATGTATAATTTAAAATACAGATATATGCCTAATACATGTATGCGTTGACAGATTTTACACGCAGCACATAATTATATAGGTAAATTAATATAATATTTCTATAATATGCGTTGGTAGATTTTGTGACGGACACGTTCGGACGCAGCGACAGCGCGACGGTGCGTATCTCCGTCACCATCAACTGCACCGGCACGCACCCGCCGACGTCCAGCCGTCCACCCATCCCGGACAGTGTGACGATCAGCGCCACGGCCAACCGGCAGAAAGACATGAAGAGTGACGCCCCGGTGGAGCCGCTGGCCTCCCCGGCGCCGGGGCTGCTCCCCACGCGCCGCCACGTCGGCCAGCTGGGCGAGTACAGTATTCCCATCCGCTGCGCCACGCCCGCACTAACCGAGATCGGCGTCATCCGCCCGCAGATCTTGGTACGAACAATTTTAATTTTTTTATTTAAAAGCAGCTAAATTTCCGCTGTACAGGTATAAAGAAAAATAAAATAATAAAAATAACAAGCGTGCGGGCAAGAAACAGATGTTTACTAAGAAAATCAAAACCACTCTATACATCTCCCGCAGTAATTGTTTAACGGGTGTACGAGTATAATCATGCAACGAAATAAAATAGCTAAATAGAAAATAAATAGAAAAATACATAGAAAATTAGATAAAACTAAACAAAATATAATACTGATAGCAGAAGAAAACTACAGATAGGGTACATCCAGTACAGTACTGTGGTATAGTATTAAAACAGCGCTGAAAATTAATCGCTTTTAAGATTGTTTAATCTAGCGCCAGTCACATGAAATTCGATAGCGACAGATTTCTCTTACGAATTTTGATTCTTTCCATGTTTAAAATATATTCATTTGCGGATGACGAAGGCGTGCAGGCGTGTACACTTGCGGATGACGAATAAAAGACCAAATAAAAAAAAACTAAATATTTGTGATTGTCAGAATTATACAAATAGATAAAAGAAAAATAATTCTGTACTCAATATAAATCAGAAAAAAATTATGCAACGAGTAGAAGTAATAAATTCATCAGGAAGGAAATTCAGCTGAGTGACGGTATTTTTCAGCTGGGGCTGAACCCCGAGACGGCGCTGTCCGGTGCCTTGTCCGGGCTGTCGCTGATCGGGACCGACGACTTCCACATCGACAACATCACCGGCACCATCGTCACCACGCGCCCCATGCCGGCCTTCACCACCTCCACGACCTTCTTCCTCAAAGCCCAGGATGTGGCGCACGCCGGGCGACTGGTCAAGGGAAAGGTCACCGTCAAAGTGGTCTGTCCGGAGCAGCGCCCGGACAGCCGAACAACCAGCGCCGTCACCAAGTGGCGGGGACAACGCCGGAAGGACTGGGCGGTGTCACGCATGGCGGTGGCCGGCCAGTCCACGCTGCCGCCGTCCGCTGGGGGGTCGGGGATGTAAACGGCATCATTTTTGATTTTTGTTTGATTTTCCTGTTACTATCTGTGGCTTTACTTATGCAGCAAGCGGGACTTGCTCGAGGCGAAAATCGTTCAGAAATATTCATCAAAAACTGCGTGATTTATATACAGAAATTTCAGATGTACATATTATTTACACATAATTATATAATAATTACATTATAATTGGCCAATATGACCCAGCTAGTTGCAAACACGCTAACTAACTTAAAACGCAAGTTATGTGATTTACAAACAAGAAAATAATGTTGACATCAATATCTCGATTTCCTCCAGCGCGGTTTCCATTTAATTAATTTAATACATCTTGAAAATAAAATTAAATTAGTCATTACATGGGAGAATACGGTATGTACAAGATTAAAATCGGTGTTTGGAGAGTTCTTGTCCTTCGGCCGACTTCAGCTGCTCGTTGACGTAATCAGCAGAGCGGCCGGCCACAAATGTTTCTAAAAAAAATCAACGGTTGGAAGCAGTTCATTGCTTAATAAAAATAATAAAATAATTGCCAGTTACTGAGATGCTGTTGTTTGATTCGTCGAAACGACTCCGTGGCCTTCTCCTCCGGCTGACCCATCCCGCCGACCATCAGGGCGGTTGCCTTAGCGACCAGCATCTGCCGGATACAGCAGATGCTCTCCATTAGTTCATCTACAACAGTGACCTTTACCGTGACCTTTACTGCCCCACTCAGTTGCGGGCCGATTTTTAAATGATTATTTTAATTAAACCAAAATTTGAAAATAAAAAACAGGTATGTTTTTAAATTTATTTTCCGAATATTATTTTCTAATACAAATAAATTCTCGGTAAATAAAATATTGTTAATAGTCGTTATTTTCAGCAATGCGTTTTGTTAAATCGGCTTTAAATTGGATCAGTTTCTCGTAAAATTATTTAATTAATAATAATCTGAAAAATTCCATTCCTTGACCGTTACAAATTATTACAGCCCGGTTTTGATTTTGAAATGACTTGTTTCGAAGCTCGAAATGCGAAACGTCTAAAATTGTGATTTTAACCTTAGCGTTTCTTACGGTGCTGCTCCTCCAGTCCGCGCAATTTAATCTTGTTGGCCTCATGCTGCGCCTTCTTCTTCAGCCGGCACCCGCGGGAGGCCAGCTTATTCTTCTCCCGCCGCGCCCGCTGCCCCGCGCCGCCCTCCTCCACTTCCGCCTCGGCGTCCAGTCCCTCGATGGCCTGGTTGATGGCGTCCAGCTCCTTCCCGAGACTCACCAGCTTCCGGACGTTCGGGGTCAGGTCATTCCCGTCCCCGCGCCGCGCCTTCCCGGTGTGTTTGATGCGCACCCCGTCCGGGACGTCACCCCGGAGCTCCCAGTTGAACACCGGGTCCACCGCTTTGGACAGGACGTGCGGATCCCCGCCCACCCCGGGATCGCTGACCGTCGACGCCGAACTGCAGCGCCGGCGGGGGTCCGTGTTCCGCTTTGGCCCCTTGGACTGCAGGTTATACTGCCAGAAGTGGCGGGCGCGTTTCCCGGAGGGTTTCCCCTCGATCTTCCCGCTGGACTTGCTGCGCTTCCGCTCCAGCGGACCCTTATACTGGGGACCCAGCGCGCAGGAGGGCGTGAGGAGCGCCGGCACGGCGGACGGGGTTTTGTACGGGAGGGGGTCGGGAGGGTATCCCGGGAACCACGGGACTTCCGGTTTGGCGCGGTTGTCCGGGAAAAGGTCAAAGTCGGGGGTGAAGAGGGGCGCGGGGCGGTACAGGGATTCCAGGTCAAAGGTGTCAACTTCCGACAGCTCCAGCGGGTCCAGCCAGTCCCCGAAGCCAAAGGTCATTGCGGAGGGGTTAGGGCGCGGCGGCTCCACGTCCAGGTTGCGCGTGGCGCTAACGTTGCGTTGCAGAAACTGAGCTAAAGGACGATTTAATAAAGCGCCGGTTAACGTCGCATTTTATTATGATAAATATTAACTATTTATTCACGCACTCATTCGCTTATAAATAAGTGCTACTCGCAGAAGAAAATAGAAATTAACTAACCTAACCTAAATATTTACCAAAAAAATAGCCTTGTCTTCTGCATATAGGCACTTCAGTTTTTAGGCATAAGAATTACCTACCTGAATATTAACGTATTTAATTTAATATACGTTAACATTTATAATTATTATAATTATTTTTATTAAGAATTTTTAGTTTTGAACTTAAATTTTTTTAATAATAATTGAAGTGACCATAAATATTTAGGTTTATATTTAATTCCATTAAGAAGAAAAAATTAAATATATATTATCTAATATTAATTTAATTTTTAATTTAGATGTTTTTAATAATAGTTTAATTAGTTACGTATTTTTAAAATATAGTAATAAGTAGTTTTTCGATCCATCCAGTTGCTCTTGTGCTTGGACTAATGAAACAGTAAAAACAAACTGCAGAATACATATTGCGACGCGTACACGGTTTTCCTTATTAAGTCATGTCAATAATAATTTCTAATTTCTGGTCGTAATTAAAGCGCGCAGCGAGTTGTCAACATCATTACGGAGAACGACAGCAGATTACTATGTATAATGCAGTGTAACATGTGGGCGGAAATGATGGCTGAGGATAAATTGTGCAGCACGTGCTGCAGCCTTCCCTGTACACAGCGTGCAGTGTTTATTAAGAGCACTGTAGTGCTTTATTGGGTTTATTTTGGTTGTCTGCCTAAGGCTGAGCGCAGGATCAGTCTAATCCGTGGGCATGGTTATTATTGTTTGCCGCATGACGGAAATGAAGGAACGCGGCATGGGAATGCGTCAGGAGAGACCGCACCTCCGCTCCAGCCGGTAAACATCGGACAATAACAAACCCATTTTATAGGAATGTTGATTATTATACATACGTACACAACATACACAACATATTATTATATATACGTACACAACAAAAAATATACGTACATATGCAATATGTTGTTTACGTACACCACGTACACAACATGTATACGTACAGACACGTACACAATTGACGTATATTTATATACATTGCTGATACATACAATTATAGTCGACGAAATATATTAACATTTAACATTATACTAAAAATCCGTGATTATGTACTTTACGTACTGAATAAGCCTATCGGTTCGGAGCACTGGCCGATACTGGCCGCACACGTAGCCGCCGGGATCGGAGCGCTGGTCGGTGGCACCGGCATCATGGGCAATGATTCCCAAAACGTCTGGTTAAAATCCATATTTTATTCCGCTCAACACAAACTAAATAAATATTACATCCGAATACTACCGCTCTTGATACAGCGAAATGAAAATTATTTAACCGGCAATATTCAAGCGCTAGCAGAACATAATATACAAGACAAGATTATTACACAAGCTATATATACAAGACTATTACATAACATTTATACATTAGCAGGGATATTGTATATGCTGAGGAGTAGGCCGATCTGGAGGAGAAGAATTAATGAAAACAGATGAATAGCGATTAATATAAGTAAGACGTTAAAGAGGAATCTTTCGCGGAAGACCGCGAAATTCCGGTACACATGTACAAAATGCACAGCGGATGTGGAGCAGGTTTGTTGATGGTTTGACGATGCAGATTGCAGACCAGGCAAATTACCACCGCTGGCCACTCCTACTGTTCAACGTCACTGCTGTACTGTACATAATAGCGGCACCGAACAGGTGCAGTGCACTGCTTCTTGACAAACGTTGTCATGCTCAACACAATCACAACAACAAGCGTCCGTAATGGAAAACGTGCGTATACTCTTACACTGTACAATACATAATGATTATCTTAAATACGGGCAAATATTCTACTCTGCCGGTACAATACACTGTGGTACGTACGCTAAAATTAAGAATGCTTAATAAACCAGTACATAAAACTTTTATGTACTGGTTTATTAAGCATTCTTAATTTTAGCGTTGTATCGGTAACCGGAGTAAGGTCTTGATATTTGTTATCGTGCTACTGAAATAAAGTACATCGGGCATAAGAATTTTAACGGTGAGAAATGGAAAGAGACCATCGTTTTCAGAATACGATGAAAACAAAACAAAAAAAATACAGAAAATTAAATTTAATAAATGATGTTAGAATAATATCTATTGTGTCCACGCAAATGACATCGATTCTGGTTGTTTTTTCGGTATTTAAAATCTTATTAATGAAGCCCTGCACAATGCTCTATGGTGAACATACTGCCCAGTGTGCCCACTAAAAGATTCTTATAATTATTTCGTGCACGCATGTTGTCGGGGATCGATACGTTTCCGGCATTAATATTACCGGCAGATTACCCGCTTGACGCCAGCTGCTGCAGGTCAACATGTTCATGCCGGTAGCGACAACCGTTTTTCCAGGCAGCGCGTACTACGCTTCATCCGTCTCACGAGGATGCGGATCTGGTGGGCGGAAACATTTAACTTCCACGCTATTCGTTCCCCGGAATATTATTCCAGAGAAATGAGCATTGAACACGATTCCCGATCAGGATTGCATAGAGGAAGTTTTTCTGTTATACAGTAACTTTGTTCTGGGTACATAGTTTTTACGGTCATTTACGAGGTCCACAATTAGGCGGGATCTGGTTTCTGCTAGTCTTTGAAAATCCAAAAGAAATGCTGCTTTATTTTGTAATAACACACCTGCGGTGAACAATATTTATATGGTTAATTATTCTGCAGTGCAGGTGTGCGATATATACATAAAACTGATATCCAGCGGGACAAGATCCGCGGGGGAGATTTCACAAGAAAATGCTGAAAGATAATGATAGTTGCGCGAGAGCATTCTCTGCCCGGTGAAGCCGTGGTGCCCGGCGGAAGGCATCGTGCCGTTGCAAAGGTCACGGAAAGAAGCTATATATAATCGCAAACATTTCGCTTTTTTTCTAATAAAATTCTTTATTCAATTCGGCAGAAGGTAACATCGTACGAGTACGTTATTATGGTTTTACAGAATTATATATGGAAACTGTCAGTGTTAACGCTACCACTGGCTCAGCACTCACACCAATGCGTATACACACTTATTATTTGATTATTTACTACATTAACTGCACAGTACAATTACACACCGCAATATATACCGATGATAATTTTTATTCGGTTCGGTCAGATTGCTTTTTCATGAGTGTACACCAGTTTGCTGTACGATAATTGGTTATTACTGATCAGGACATGTTTAATCGCTAATTCGCTTATTATTATTTGCAATTTTACCTAAATTGAAGTCTGTTTCTAATTTCGTAAAGTAGTTAATTTTTTAAGAAATTACAGTCAACGTCTGGTCTGTTGTATAATTAACCGACTTAATTTAATTGCTTTTTAGCACGCAATTGAAAAATTCAAATTAATTTCGGGCACGAATGTTAAAGTAGTATACAAAGCGTTAGTGAATATTTCAAGATTTTTAGTAATGAAACTTCCGTATAACAGGGAAAAACAATTTCTTGTCAATTTTACTAAAACATCAGCGCTAGCCAAACAGACACCATGAGTTTTGCACGCTCAGACATAACCACGATGCGAATGCTTGCGTTATCTTCCTAATATTCCTGCTTGTGCTTGCTTGTGTTTTTGATGGGCAGTGAGCCGCGGGCTGCCCGGCGGGCGGGCTGAGTCACTGCATATGACTCATGCGGAAACTGCCAGTGATAGTGTTGCTAGCAGTCACGTTAATTCTGTAGGAACATAATACAGTACTGACATGCTATACGGAAGATGCACCACATCTACCGTACTAGATGACCATCCAAATTGAATTGAATTTGAATTTGAATTTATTGTCTTATGCATCGGGACACGGTCCCCTCAAAGCATTTGACACTCGAGACAAAAGGAACAAAAGTTGAAATTATCAAAAAGAAAAAGTTTTAACATTTGTTAAAGGTCATTACACGTTTACGTGTTAGATGCTCATATTTCGGCAAACAAAAACATGCAAAAACAAAGTGGAAGCAGTCGTCAAAGTCGTTCGTTGTCAGTAGAAATATTATACAATTTAAAATTTAGTACAACAGGTCGGTATCGCAGTTTTTCTTGGTACGCTGCAGCTTACTCCACTGCAGTCTACTCCAGGTGACTCTGTCCCCAGTGCAATTTCTAGAAACGAAATTAAGCCAGGTCGGGGCACGAAATACTCTGGCCTATCTGGAACATTTTCTGTTCCAGGATAATGGCACTTCTGGGCCAACGTATTGTGGGCCAGATCTGGTTCAGATTCGTGGGAAGAACTTGCCCAGCGTGGCGCTGAAATATTCTGGCCCAGAAAATCGTAGTTCTGGCCCACAAATTTAATAAAGACTTCTTTATTTATTCAATTCAGCCAACAAAATCTAGCGGTGCCGACTGCACAGTTCCTATTGAATCACAAAGGATAGTTTTGATAGTAAAGAAATACCCCGCCCAATGAAACAGCTTTTGGTTTATTCTGTGCTGACCCGCCAGACCGGCAGCAAGTATATGCATGCATGTACTACGCCCGTGTATCCGGTCGAAAAAGTTCCGTAATATAATAATAATAAAATAATAATAATAATAGTCATTATAATGATCATTCACGTTTGCTTGAAACGTATGACACAACGTACGCGCTGCAGATCATTGCGTGTATATCTATATTATTTAAAATATATTAATGAACTATACATAGTTCTATAAATACAAAGTTGAAACCTGAATTAGCACATTGAAAAAATAAATAATATATTCGTAAGCAGTTAAATAAATATCATTATTAAAGCATAATTTACTGAAACATTTCGATGCTATTTGGAAACTGCCAGCCGTGGTAGTTCGCTTTCCCGCGCTTGGAGGCGGTACTACCGTTGCTGTAGATGTCATGATCACATGTACTTATTTGTTGCTCATGCAGCTACAAAGCGCAAATTTATAAATTCTCTTCTTCCGCTTCTTTTAAGTTTTACGATATCCTCTGTTTCTCCTTTTAATTATTGTAATCACAAAGGCATTTTAGTGTACACCAGACCTATAAAGACTGCTCCTGGTAGATGGTTCATAGCGCTGCATGACTTTGTGCTGTTATTTCATGCAGTTTAGCGTTTACTGTTGCAACGGTTCGTGGGTTTTGCCAACTTTGGACTTGCGTCAGCTGTCTGATCGTCGAAAAACTTTTTTCCACCTTGTCGAAACCTCCCATGGTATATGTCCAACAAGAGAAAGAAGTTCCGGAAAATGTGGAAATCATAAGTAACTGATAAACAGGATATTCCCGTGCAGGTGCGTGCGTTGCGTTAAAAGTACTTTGAAAGCCATATGCAAACAAATGTGCTGTATATTTTATTTGCATATTGGGAACTTTGTTTCAACTTTTTACTGATAGTTAAATTTCTATTTTTGTTTTATTTTTAAATGTTTAATTATTGTCGTGCATTATTATGATTTTCTTCGCGTGTACGGTGTATATGTAGGTTCCAGTTTGTGGAGAAAACCCAAATCATTTGTAGGCTCATTTTAATTATTTTCAGAATGCAGTAAATTATTGATTCTAAATAATAAATAATTTTTTATTAACTATTGAGTTGATCAATAAGTTTGTTATTTAATTTCAGGATTTTGCGCATAGATTCTCCATTATCCGATGAAAATTTTTCACGAACTCCTGCCCGCTGCCGTTTATAAACCTACCGATTGCTGCCGAATATTTCCGATGAGAAGAAGTAGCGAGAGAAGCTGTATGCCATCGAGTCGGAGGGCGTTTTCGAACAGAGCTGATGCGGATGTTAATTACGAATTTTTGCACCGAAATGTTAAGAAATAAATGTAGTTATATATACGCTGTGCATCATGTTTTTATGTTTATGACGTGATTAACGCAGACCTATGATCAGTGCATATGATGCGCTACGTGATCATAAATAAAGCTTAATAGGTTACTTAAATCATGCAAAGCAGCATTCGATTCAAGTAAACATGTAAAATATAAAACGAAAAAGCAACCGCAAATTCAAAGTAATTTTAATGTTTGGACTGGGCCAGAACGCTGCTACATATCGTGTTTAGATAGGCCCAGGCGGAACCAGAACTTGCTCAGAGTGGGTCTACAAATAGGCCTTCCGCCCGTTTGCCGGTAGGCCTGAGCTCTCTGGCCCGCACAATGGCACCTCGGACTTCGTTTCTGGTCCCGAACAGGGGAGTTTGACAGGCCCAAACAACCCCTGTTCGGGTTACAGATTAGCACTGGGTCGAGGGCATTCTTGAACGTGTTTACTGAAGAATATGATTCTTTCGATAAGATTATTTCATTCCATAACTCGCAGATTTCATGAATATGGGATTCCGGCGTCGGTATTACCGAGGTTCAGTAGATAAAGTGGGAAATAAACACTACGAACTATTTCTTATGCCTAATCCACTGATAACTAGTAAAACACTTTACCAGTTATCCAACTACGTGCACGAATACGATCTGGATGATGCAGTTAATAAAACTAGTTATCCAGATTAATTGTGACTTCCGGTAGGTAAACACACTAATGTTTTCGCTACAGAAGACACGAGAGCTTTCATAACACAAGTTCTTATTAGCAATTGCAAGTTCACACATCACTTTAGTCAAGACTAACTTTTTCTATCAAAAACAGATGCCCACTTCTCTGCTTTAACATGG